TCCAGGATTACATAAGTGTTTAATTAAATGTAAAACAATCATAGCCGGTATCTAATGATCATATGTATAAGTGTGTAGGAAGTGTGACAGGCCTGAGGGTACACACACACACACACACACACACACACACACACACACAGCCACGCACACACACAGTTTCCAAAAAAGGTATGTACATCCTCTCCCCCTGACTTATATTAGAAACCCTGTATAAGGCCATTATCTTCAGTAGAGCATCCTGCCACACCAAGAGAGTATCCCACACCTTCCAGCAGAGACATCGCTCCTGCAAAGCTGAACTCACCCAGGCGTAACCACAGTCTCGTTAATTTTGACGACGATGAAAGTTCCGGGAGCTGTGGGTCCTACAACGTCGAGGAAATTGATAACCATTCCAGAGATATTTTCCTCCCAAGAGAGAACTGACAGGAGTAGATCTGTCTATCTTTCTCTTTATATCACTATTTCTTTCTTCCTCTCTGCTTTTCTTTCTCTTCATCTCTTTTTTCTTTCTCTTCCTCTCGTTTTTCTTTCTCTTCATCTCTTTTTTCTTTCTCTTCCTCTCGTTTTTCTTTCTCTTCCTCTCGTTTTTCTTTCTCTTCATCTCTTTTTTCTTTCTCTTCATCTCTTTTTTCTTTCTCTTCATCCCTTTTTTCTTTCTCTTCATCTCTTTTTTCTTTCTCTTCCTCTCGTTTTTCTTTCTCTTCATCTCTGCCTTTCTTTCTCTTCCTCTCGTTTTTCTTTCTCTTCATCTCTTTTTTCTTTCTCTTCCTCTCTCTCGTTTCTTTTTCTTTCTCCTTCCCCTTTCCTGTCTTTCCCATCTCTTTCTCTACCTTGCTTTGTTTTATATCTCCTTTAAGACGTGGGGGTATCAGTTTCATGCAGACAGACAGATAGACAGATAGATAGTGTTGAGGAAGACTACAACACACACACACACACCTCTTCCAGGTCGTCCATCAAGCTTTTAAACTCTACCAGCAAAGTCAAACTGAGGCAGGTGTGTGAGGATCTCTTGGCTCTATAACAGTGACCAACACAGTCATGGATCACGCATGAATGGTGCTGCCATATAACCAAGATAACATAACAATGATAATAGTAATGATGATAATAATAATAATATTAATAATAATAATAATAATAATAATAGTTAAACAGGAACATCAAAAGCGCCAGCATTAATAACGACAACGACGATAATAATAATAATAATAATAATAATAATAATAATAATAATAATAATAATAATATGAAAGAGACATTTACCATAGACAGAATGAACCTACCTCTGCCTCACTGCAAATGCTGCCTACCCAATATCCAGTTCAAATTATATTCAGGATTTATCGATTCTGGAGGATGAATTACCTGATTGTAGCATTGTTGTCCTTGAAATTCCATACCTACAACACATAGGTTACAGCAGTGTTGGGGAATACTACAACACATAGGTTACAGCAGTGTTGGGGGATACTACAACACATAGGTTACAGCAGTGTTGGGGGATACTACAACACATAGGTTACAGCAGTGTTGGGGGATACTACAACACATAGGTTACAGCAGTGTTGGGGGATACTACAACACATAGGTTACAGCAGTGTTGGGGGATACTACAACACATAGGTTACAGCAGTGTTGGGGGATACTACAACACATAGGTTACAGCAGTGTTGGGGGATACTACAACACATAGGTTACAGCAGTGTTGGGGGATACTACAACACATAGGTTACAGCAGTGTTGGGGGATACTACAACACATAGGTTACAGCAGTGTTGGGGGATACTACAACACAGTCACCGTGACCGATCGTCTCAGCCAACCAACCCCTACCTGAGTCCCATTGTTACTTACACCTAGGAAGGAGATCATGTACCCAGGCGACCAGCACCCACTCACAAGCTTTAGGCTGAGGCATATTATTATTTATTTTATTACGTGTAAACTAGCCATGATTATTTGTATATTAAGTGTATATATACCCCGAAAAATAAGAGATATGTTGATGTGAGATATTTTCCCGTGAATGGTGGTGAGGAAGCAGTGCGGGCAATGGGCCAGGTGCCTCCTTACGGGCCGGGGCCTTTCTTCGCTCTTTTGTTATGAAACTTTTCTCATGATGGGCCGACCATTCTTGACTAACGGGAACAATGTCACAAGGACACATGAGACCAACTGAGCTAAGGGATTTTGTGCCTTGCAGTTGTGGTGATTATTGTCGAATTTTGTGTAAATTTAATTCCGAGTAGCGCTGAGGCTGTGGGTTGCCTCAGGTGACATCATCTGAGGGAAAGACGTTAGTGCACCAGCGAGGGACACTCCCTGAATTCCGTCGGAAATGAAAAAGATTATTTTTTGTTATAATTACAATACCTACTTACTTATTAGTGAATGTTTAACGTGTAATTACAGAAGTGTGCCAGGGAGGAACAGTGGGGGCGTCCCGGTAGCGTCGAGAGGGAGGTGGTGGTTGGGGAGCACCTTAGTCTTCCAGGGACTTGGACGCCAGGAATCTCCTGCACGTCACCCTCACACATCTCTTCCTAGGCCTAAATCACTGGTTTCCTTTCATTTTCCCTTAAACTTGCCTTTAACCATTTCCCCTTCTCTTCATTTCTATGTTTCTGTTTTTAGCCTTGCTCTCTCTGTCTGAGGCATATCAACGCTCTTTTTTGCAGCCTTTGTGATACTAAAATTGTTAATATCGCGATAAATAATGCACAAAAACTACAAGTATATACAGTTCTTAAAAGTAATGAACTCGCAAAATCGTTTTTATTTCATTTGTCACTGAAGTAACGAAACTGCAAGACGATTTGATCATTAATATTTTGAGATATTATTTATAAAAAAAAAAAAAGGAAGTTTGTTACTTTCCTCTCTGGAGAAGTACTGAGAGTAAAATTTTCGATAGTTGCTCGTGTGAATGATCTTTGTTATAAAACTGCTATTTTCAAACCATTCCTCTCTGGCTGCTACTTTACCTCTAATTACCTCCGAGAATCGTCACTTACCCCAAATCCTCTTATTATCTACCGAAGACATGTGTACAACCAACATACCCAGAGTAACACATCCCGGGAATTGATCGTCTGAACCCAAAAGCAAGTCTAATACTAATACCACCAGCTTTGCTTAATTTCAGTAAAGAGAGTAGAACATATAAATATATCACTCATAAGCCTTTCAGAATTTCAAGGTTCGAATTGACAAAGTGAATCGTGGTAAGGTAGAGAGGAGACCCAATCCACAACTAGACTAGAAAGATCGTTGCACTTGGTTCTGATGGCAAGCTGAAGGCGTTTTGTTATGATTAACTGCTCTCATACAACGATAAATGTATATATATAAAGAAGAAGGTAACAGTTCGATCAAGTCCACCCTGTACTGTATAGAGCAGCTTGCATGTGGAGCTGTGGGTAACCTCTCGGTGTTTATACTCGTACATTAGCTGTAACTAGAGCTATTTAAGAACAATATAAATGCCACAGCTTCAGCACAGTTCCCTACGGAGTATTACTTACAACAATTTATGCACGTTTGAAATAAGAAATAAGACATATCTTCACCCTTTTGAGAAACAAAACTATTTAATTACACTAACTATATTGACTCATTTTTTTTTACCTTTTTTTTACGAGGATTAGCCCACCCGGGCACAGGTCACTGACTCACATCGGGGCCTGGGGGCGAAAATGTAATAATAATAATAATAATAATAATAATAATAATAATAATAATAATAATAATAAAGAACCATAAACACAAAAATGAAAAAAAGATCACACACACACACACACATATATATATATATATATATATATATATATATATATATATATATATATATATATATATATATATATATATATATATATATATATATATATATATATATATATATATATATATATATATATATATATATATATATATATATATATATATATATATATATATATATATATATATATATATATGAAGATTTTTCATTTTTTCGCATTTTAGACAAATTTCGAGTAATCAAGTGTGTCTGAGATAACATGGCATTCACATCGTCGGTCAAGAGCAAAAAATCTCTCAAGTTCGAGGAAGATGCACTGAAAAAATCACCTTAATTTACCCGAACTGTAAACCCCCTTGTGACGGACACAAGGACAGGTGTAACAAAGCAGTCAGTCCCTTGTAACACCTAACCTAACAAACACTGAAAAGCTAGAATGACCAAGCTTACCAGTTCAGTACGTGTGTATTTTTTTAACTCATAATAACGCACTGAGCACAAGAAGAGGTCAGACAATTGTCGTTGGGTTACATAGCAGCGACTCACTTTGATGAACATATTATTAACTAGACTAGAGCAGTATCAAGACGTAATACTCCAGCACAACAAATTTAACATGGTATATTTCTTTGCAAAAAAAAAATCATATACTGTAGTACCTGTAAATGCAAAGCGAACCCTATTGGAAATCCACTCCCTGTTATACTGCAGTTCAATGTACCTCCATTCTATAACAACTCTCTCTCCTTGTCTCATATTTCTACTTGGATCCTTAATCCTTTACTTTGGTTCACATTCACTGTTAACTTCCTCTTAATACACATTCTTCTCGGCTCAGTCACTAACACAACTTTTCTTCTGAATCGCCCTAGATCACTACCAGCTGTAAACATCTCCTATATACATTCTGTACAGTACCTTTATTTACCAAGATTTCATCATTTCCAATATTCTTACTCTTATTACTCAATTCAGGAACATATTGAACAGCTATGGCTTCACTCCACATCATTAACGTAGCCTAGTCATTCATCGAGAGCCAATTTCCATCTTCCAAAGAAACTTTTCACTTTCCCTGTAAAAACTATTAATTTCTTATTTATCCTATATTTTTTTCACTACTTCTGACATCATTTTCTATCTGCTCTGTTATATAAAACAACAGGTGGAAGCAATAATGGAACTCTAGTAAATCATCAACTGGGACCTTTGTAAAGAGTGATGTTACATCAAAACTGACCAGTTTAAAATCACAATTAATGTGCAAATTATTGAGTTTATCAACCAGATCCATATTATTCTTAATATTAGAGTTAGAAATGTTGTCAACTTGAGGATTTAGTAAAGAAACTGATAACCACAAGGAAACACGACGTTCCCAAGCGGTTTCGTGTAATTCACATCTTCAGGGGTGAGGAACTTCGTGTTTTTTGTGGTTATATATACAGTATATATATATTATACAGCCTACCGGACACAGACACATGAACAAGATGAACCCGGATTCTCATCGGTGAACACCAGCTCCATGGCAGCCTCCATTGTTTACACACAAGATGATACCGTGTGTGACTCTTCCACTCTGCCGCACAATTAAATGGAGTGTAAATTGTCACAGGAAGGCATACCATTTATTACCCAGGCTTTATTCTAAAACAGTAATAGGTGAGTTGAAGCCAATGACATTATTGCAATATATCCACTGTTTGGCCGTGACCGGCTAAGTTCCTACTAACGCTATTTTACCGTGAGTGGCTGTGATTGGCTTACCGGCGAACAACCCGAGAGCTATATTTGACCGGGACTGGCGGCATTTGGCATATATTTCACCGTGAGTCGATGGTTGTGTAGCTATAATCGGTAAATTTGACAGTTTCAGCCACAACTACTGTTAGCCCACATTTTATCCCCATTGTAATTGGTGATTCATTCCAATTTGACCTTCATTTCCGTCAAAAATGAGGCGTTTTGGAGTTATCACCCCCCCCCCTTTCCCCCCTCATACAACCTGACTAACTACCAAAGAAACCTAACCTAACCTTGCCTAACTTCCTAACTGTCCCCGCTGTATTAAACAAAAAGTACTTAGATTAATATTCATCCGTTGAAACACCATGTTGTAATTTTATGTTTTTTTGTGGATTTCAGAGTACTGTAGCTCAGACTGAACGGGTTGGCACGACAAGCAGTGACTGCAGATTTATGTTCATTTCTTATGTGAATTTACTTTCTCGGTTAATATCCACTTGTGATGGAAGTGGTATTAGAAAAAGTTGTTCCAATTGACAAGATATAACTAATGGAAACACGAAATTGTGGCTGAAACTGTAATAATACCCTATAAACATACCTAATTAGAAGTTGTTTAATTTTGTTTATTTTTTCCACAGATGTTCTAAGCATTATAAAAGAGGTGACATTTACTAGAACCTGACCTAACCAACCAAAGAAACATGAACATACAAATTATAATTTACAGTTGATGGCTGGTACTGGTCTTTTGTCCTTCTGAGTGAGGTCACACAGGCCACATGATGCAGTAACTCGTTCATGTTCTTAGCCGAATGTTATGAAAACAATGGGACAGAGAATTGATCAATAGCTCCCATTTCATGAAAAGAAATGAATAGTGGTTACCTTATTGGGTATAGTATGACATGTCTGAATTCTAGGTTCATCATTTCTACCACTTGACCAACTCGTTAGAGGTCGACGTGAAGAGGCTCAGAGATCACTACTTGTGGAGGTGGCTGGGCTAGCATCTGCATTAGCCCTACATCAAGTGTGTTCTCAGTATGGCAGTGTCCACAAGATGTTTCATTACACTGTCAACTCTGGTAATAATAATAAGGTACTGTACTGTAGGCTGTTTCTTATGTAAAGGTTTATCAAGAAGTTGTATAGAATTTTATTTTAAAAACTGTCAAACAGACATTATATTATTTTACTTTATTCATCTATATTATTGCACTAATTTTGTCTTACAGTAAAACTTGCTTCCCACATTTGGAAAAAGATGGCTAATATTGAAGTAAATACTCTGGTATATTAGTTACCCGGTAATGAAAGTTTTACACCTGTACAGTATTTGAAATTCAGTACTGTATTAGTATGTGCAACAGTTGCTATTAATATTTTCTTCAAGGAAAGGTTACACAAATTATATTACAGTCCCGGGTAATATCTCTGCTAACCGGAATCCCTCAAACCCGGAACTCTCTGATTGCCAGAATTGAAATTTTCTCGGAAAATCATTCCCAAAGCCGGAATTTTCTGGAAAATTCCGGCTTTGGAAACGATTTTCCGAGGGGCACATTTTCCCGAAAATTCCGAGAAAATTTTTCCGTTACCTGGAAAATTCCGGGGATGGGGGATTTTTTTCCCAGCTTTGAGAGTCGTCTTGTTATTCGGAAATCTCTCATTCCCGGAAGTGCTCTGTACCAATCGGGTGTCATGAGGATAATTCATGACACCCAATACAGGTCTACATCTATTGTTCCTTGAGAGTGACTAAATGAGTCCATATGGTTTGACGAGAGCCCATACATCTGGTCAATTCTCCTAACGGTCGCTTACGTGGGCGTAGGCATGTGTGGGCGTTCCTGTTTATTATGTATGATCATCTGATATTCTTAATTTACAGGGATATTAGTTGGGCCTGTCATAATTGAAATACCAGTTTTGGCCACTGTACTAAATAATGGATATAGAATCTCTAGAAAGTGTACAGAGGAGGATGACAAGACATTAGGAATCCTGAGTGTAGAGACTGATTAAAGCATCTAAATTTGCACTCCTTCGAGAGATGTAGAGTGAGGGGCGATATGAGCAAGGAGTATAAATGGAAGTCAAGGTTAAACAAAGGTGACATAATGAAGGTAGAATACACATACTTAAATTATCCAACCAGGAATGAACTCGTAGCAATGGTTTTAAATTAAACAAATTTAGATTTAGGCACGAGATAGGTAAACTCTGTTTTGGAAATAGAGTTGTGGATGAGTGGAACAAGTTACCAAACATCACCATTAACTTGAACAAGCTGGGTAATTTCAAATATGGGTTGGACAGATATAAGAGTGATAGGGGTTGGGTGTAAACGGGACTGCCCAGTATGGGCCAATTGGCCGGCTGCAGTTTCCTCCATTATCATGTTCTTATTGCAACTGATTATTTTTCAGGAGATGATTCTTGTGGAGTTCAAAGAATCCTCGTCCCTTGACCAAGCTCTTCAATTCGCATGTTCACAATCTGTCAAAAACATCATCCCTGCCCATTCACCTCTTGTGTGGCTAGCAGCTGGAAAGTCATCTAATGAAACCACAAATGCACATATTACCCAAGACCTGTTAGAGCTTGTCACTCCAAATATCAAATACAGTAAAGAAGAACTCCAGCAACAAATTTTTCAGTGTAATGATGTAAGTAGATTTCTCACATGAATTGTTTCTGCTCTGTTGTGTGAAATATACCACTTTTTATGCTGTGCAAGATGGAATTAGTGATTCCCTACAATATCTAGGTTTAAGATTTTTAATTTTGTTCAAGAGACTTTCACATTCTCTGAGTGAATTCTTTATTTTCAGATTTCAGAGCAAATTCAGAAAGTGTATGATGGCCAAAAGTTGACAGAATTAGGTTGGAGATTAAGGTTTTTGACATGTAGACAGGTGAGCTTCTTTTGGAGTATTTGTGATGATTATGAAATATGATACTATACTGCAACTTTTTCTTTCATTTACACAAAAAATACTATACACCCATTATGCTTTAACCCAGGAAGCCCAGACCCACAGCCTGCAAATCAATCACTTTCAGGGTCTGGATATGTCCTTGGATCCTGCTATATACTGTTTGATATTTAACTGTAGTTAAACCTGAGTGGGTGATTGAATGGTGGATGGGACCAATCATCTTGTTTACCCTGTTGACTTATTCTTATAAGTTCTGTGGCTTCTTTCTAATGTTGTCAGTAGGTATCACCTTACATTTGTAGGGGTTAAGATGGAGTAATCACTTATATATATATATGTGACTGTTAACTGTTTTGGTCAAGCAAAATAAGTTTTAACAACTTTGTATCATTAGCAAAAAATATTCATTGAAAGACACTCAGATAAGTCATTGATGTATGACAAGTAGGATTTGGCCTAATACGTTCCCTTGCAGGATGCCATGTAGCACTGTAGCTCAGCTGAACCAGAATGCATTTATATTAATTCTCTGTTTTCTGTCAAACATGAATGATGAAATCCTTTTAGTATGTTATTTTGGTAATATAGTGGTCCCTCAGTTAACGAACACAATTCATTCCAGAAGGTCGTTCGTTAACCAAAAATTTTGTTAACCGAATCCATTGTTTCAATGGGATATTGGGTAATTGGTTCCAGCCCACCGAAAAGTACATACTACAAAGTAAAAAAAACGCAGTAAAGTACACTTGCTTTGAGGTGTGTATGTAGAAGGTTCCTGGTTGATGATGATGGGAATTAGAAGTGGGGGTGGAGGAGAAGGGAGAAGAGAAGGAAGTGGGGATGGAGGAGAAATCACCTTTCAGTGGACCCATGCTTAATATCGTCATTTCACCAATAAAATTTTAAGTTCACTAGGTGTAATTCAAGAATATTTTCTTTAAATCAACACTGCACTGTGCCATATATTATCAATATGTTAACTAATTTTCAGAATGACCAATAATTTCAATGAAAAAGGCAAAAATATTCAAGACACCAACTGTTTTCAAAGCCCAACTGACGCCTTGTGGCCGAGTCAAGCTGCTGATGGGCTCACAAAAAACTAGTTCCCTGTACTGCATATAATATCAATGTTAAATAAATGTTAAAATGACGAATAATTTTAATATAAAAAATGCCAAAATATTAAAGAGCACAACTTTATTGATATTTACTCCACTGGAAACGAATGTAAACATAGAACGGATTACTGAATTGGCAGACTAGCCCATCAGCTGATGCTCACAACAAAACGTGATGTTCGTAAGGATTTCGTTAATCGAATTTTTGTTCGTTAACTAAATTGAAGATTCTTATGGAAGGTAATTCGTTAATCCAAATTTCATTAACCGAACTGTTCGTTAACCAAGGGATCACTGTATAACGAGTTGTTGAGCTTACGAAGCAGGTACAAGTATTCGCTTCATTTGTTGTTCTTCATTCCTTCTTACTGCCATAAAATATGTACTCTGCTGTGGCACTCCCTTTACACATGAGGCCCTAAATCTGGTTTACTCTTGTTGCTTAATACAAGCCAGCATTATCCATCATCATTTATAGGTATTTTATTTATTATTATTATTTTTTTTTTTTTACAGATAGAAGTGGCTTTGTCGGGGTTATTTCCAAGAGCCACAGTTCTTCCATTTGGTTCCTCTGTCAACTCATTTGGAAACTTCAATTGTGATTTGGACATGATACTGGAGCTTTCGGGTATTGGTGCACAGGTGGGCAGTGTCCAGTAAACTCCTTAATGTATGCATATTTAGGAATCATGCATTGATTATAATTATCCACGATATAAAAAACCTGGCTCATTTTAATATTTGTAGATATTTCACCTACCACAAACCTGAAATGCCTGTACTGTACTGTGGAATGGGAAACTTTTTTCATTTGGAAAAATGTATTAGAGTAAACCCTTGTTATTCATGGGGGTGAGGTTCCATGAATAGGCAAAACCACAAATAGCAACTTACACTACCTTAGTCCACTACTGTACCTATACCAAACAACTGACCAGCCACGGCAGCACTCATCCCTTCTTTTAACTTATCTAATGATTCACTAGCATCACTAGAGCTGACACTAGGCAGTCTTTTAGGGGCTATTTCACACAGAAACACTAAAGTTTTGAGAGTACAACACGAGATGCTGCGTGGGGTGATTCATTGTGCTGCAGGAAAAGGCTCGCAAGCTAGCCACCATCTGCTTACTGTGATTCGTCGAAATTAGGAATTGCAAGGATCTTCTGTATTCACTTTTATTTATCCTTTTCTCTTCTTGGGTATAAAGTTTATAATTTTGTTTACTGAAAATGAAATTGGGTCTCAAGGGCAAGTGGATACAGCTCATTGTACACTAAGCCTTCGGTATGCAAGGAGCCAGTGTGGCCAGCACTACACATAAAGGTCCAGGATTAAACCAATATATTTAAGAACATAAGAATGGAGGAAACTGCAGCGGGCCTATTGGCCCATACTGGGCAGTATATTTAAGGACCGTATCTATGGTCACCATACCCCAAAATTCTAGCTATGACATCATCATCATCACTCCTTTACAGCCATTTTCCACACTTGCATGGGTTACCCTTGACCACCTGCATGGTGTCCCAGTTGCCATAAGGCAAATTTGAAGCAAGTTTTATGACTGGATGTCCATCCTACCGCCAACCCACTTTTCCTAGTTTCCTCTTTGCTGGCAAGTCAGAGTCATTACTCCCAGAGGTAATGAAAGATTACTGATCTAACTGAGGTTGCATGTGGAATTACTAGAATGGAAGGGGTAAAAGACATTGAAATGTGTGGGGTGTTTGTTGTGGCAGAGAAGGCAGATGATGTAAATTTTGGAGTGATGAAATGGGTAAAGAGAAGTAAGCTGAGAGGGTATGGACAATGGAGATGTAAGAAGGATGCAAGAGGAGGGGATGGTAAAGAGCATGTAATAAAGGCACTGCAGTAGTTGTGATGCGTAGATGGAGACCACTGACACTGAGGGGGGGGAGGGGGTAATTGAGAGGGCAAAGTAGATGGAGTGATAGGCCAACCTAGATGCTCATCTTTGCTAGCCACTTTGTAAGAGTAAGAGTGCCATGAATGACACAAGTAAATTTTTGAGGTTGGAAACATGGACATGAAATGGGTAACTATGAAGTGTGTAAGTTAAATCCAGTAAGGTTTAACCCCTTCACTACGGGATGCCACTTGTAATTTTTTATTTGGCTAATGCAGAAGATCTTATCCAACTCCGAGGGGAGCCCATGCCCAATAGTTTGTAATTAACATTTCCCAGGTAACAGGCATGACTGGAACCTACTGGCATCCTATTTTCACCATAAATTTGGTTAATCAATAATATGTAGATTCATGTATCCACAGGTTGCACACAAAAATGATCCCATGAATGTTCATGAGTTTATTGCATTTAATATGACTTCACAGAAATTAATAATATAACACATCTTATAAAATATTATATCACCTGTATTATAAGTGGATTTTGCCATGCAATCAAATTATTATAATGAGTCAAGCTCAGTTTGGCATAGGTAGTGAGCCTTCCAACCACCAACTTGGACATACCTGACTGGCAGGAGCAGTGTCACTCACTGCATGTCTCGTTACCCTAGGACAGTGTTGCTGTGCTCCTTGCACCATTTGTTATAACTTTTATACTGTATTGTGTTTGTGCTTCTGTGCAATAGTACTATGTGTATTATAATGGATTTCATATGCCTTCTTCAGCTATCTGGTGAACTGTATGACAATGGTTAAACAACAGTACAGTACAGTACTGAATTTCTAATAATATTTGGGAGGGGAACATTGGCTCAAGTTTCTTCTCATTAAGGTGATTTTCTACAAAGCTGCATTGTATAAGAATATAACCATTATGGTATATGGAGTCCTACTGTACAATCTTTTCCTTTTTTGTATTCACAAATTTCACTCTACCCCTCAGGATAATACTCAGCGGCTGGTGTTTCAAGCCAAGAAAGCCCCTTCATCTGCAAATAGTAGATTGGCATTGCAGCGTCGCATGGAAATCATCTCGGACATTATAGACAACTTTGTACCAGGTTGTTCCCAAGTAAATACAACATTTATTTTTGTCTTTGTACATTCTGTTGACATTTCTCTTTCCAAAGCAAATTTATCCTGGAGAAAATTGCCTCAAGCACTATGGTCACTACTCAGTGAAAGTACAGAAAAAATTTAGTAAGTAATTGCTTCAAAAGAAAAAAAGGGAAAATATTGCAATTACATTTTGAAACCAAGTACTGTACAGTAATCCCCCAGTTAGCCGGAACAGTCGGTGCAGAGTTCTTCCGGGAATGAGAGATTTTCAGGAAATGAGACAAATCTCTCACACTTGGAAAAAATCACATCCCTGGAATTTTTACAGGTACTGGGAAAAGCTTCTGAGACTAAACTATGCAACTCGCACACAGACAGACACTATCCCACATGCCCAGAATGTTTCTGGGTGCCGGGAAAAGTTTTCCGAGTAAGAGAGTAAACTACGCTTCTCATCTTGACACTAAAACTATGCATCTTATCATCTCATTTTGAATGGACAAACACTCTCCCATTACATTTACTCCATGAGCCTGAGGGAAAATATTCACAGCATCCGTTGTAATTGTGTTAAAGAGTATTATGACTGCCTTCTGGACTGTAGTTGTTCAGGTTCAAAGTGAGTGATGGAACAAAAGATCTTGGGGGTATTGTGACCTGTGAGTGAACTGCATGGGTGCTGCTGGTCAGTGCTATCAAACGATGTGCCTGTATGTCATCTAGTGGGGGTAAGGGAAGCTTTAGACTTTCATCAGATGATTGATTGTCTTCATTTATTATGAAAGCTAATAAAACCCCTTCACTATGGGGATGCCACTTTTAATATTTTATTTGGGTAATGCCAGACAATTTTATTCAGCACAGAGAGACCCCTGTACACAAGGGGTTAATGGTGTTCTTACATTAAAGGTTTGGGCCCCTGTACACTTTACTATTCTAGAAACCATAAAAATCCAAATTTTGGACAACTGGTTGATCCTAACCATGACAGATTATCAAGTTTACACTGTATTAGTGTATAAGAAAGCAAGAGATACTGAAGTGCTTCCAAGATTATGAATAAATGTGTGGCAATCTTTATAGAAGCGTCTCCATAAGAACCAGAAGAGGCTAATGAGTTACAAATGAAATAAAGTACTTCAGTGTTTTTGATATTAAATTTAGTGTGGCTGGTGAAACATGGCTGCTTTCACCTTGTTTGAATATCAGAACTATACAGACATACTTTTTACGTTGATTTTAATCCTCAGGTCAGAAAAATTCTTAATGCTCGGGTTCCTATAATCAAGTACCGCCAAAACCTAACTGATGTAGACTGTGATCTTACTATGTCAAACAGGTTAGTAAAATTATTGGTGATTATAATGACACTATTACTAGGACTCGAGTTATAATGTGAAATTATGGTGACAATTAATTTTGTTATTCATTGCGGTGTTTGATATGCAGTACAACTCAGTAGTGTACAGTTGAACAAAATTAAAAGAAAAAATAGTATTGTAATTATATTATTGAAGATAATTTGTTAATGTGCAAAGGGTTATTCCTAGTCTCTGTTCAACTCCTACACTTTTCAAAGTAAAAGTTGATCATGATTGGACATCACTCTTGCTAACCACTGATTAATCACCAAAGTAGCAGTTTTCTTGAAAGACAACATCTAATTGGTAAATTTAGGCATGTTTACCTGCCTCTGAACACAGGTAATTTCAGAATCTGTCAGACTATCAGCTGTATGCTTGGCTCCCTCCACCTTTCCTTCTCAAAGTACCGGTGTCATCATTATATAATACAGTATTATATACTAATTTTGGATATACAGTATTTATGAACTCTACAGATACATATTTATGCCAATATCAGTGTTACTATATTGTTATTTCAGTTATATTTATTTTATTTTTATTTTGGATAGGTCTGGTTTCTACATGAGTCAGATGCTGTACATGTATGGGAGCTTGGATTCAAGAGTATGTCCACTTGTGTTTGCTGTGCGCCGATGGGCAAGAGACCGACACATAACTTCACCATATTCAGGACGATGGATAACAAACTTTTCTCTGACGCTAATGGTCATCTTCTATCTAATGAACGTGTCAACCCCAGTAATTGCATCACTTCAATCACTGAATATTAATTCAGGTAATATTGTGGTTGATGTGCCAGACATTATTTATAAAGTCAGAGTTGTTAAAGTGTATTTATTAATTTATTTGTCTATTTCTGGATGAGACGAAGTGGATCGAGAAGTGCACGAGTTTAAATGTAGAGAGGAGTAGGACAAGGCCAAGAATGACATGGGGATAGGTTTTAAGAAATGACATTTGAGCTAACCCCTTTACTCAGAGAGGCTGATATGGTCACCAAACATGCTATCAGTGTGAGTGTGTGCATGCAAGTGCACACACTCCCATCACTCAGCTGGCAACCCACTGCCCACCATGTGGTGGTCAGTCTGTTATCAAACATGTAAACAGACCAGCATGGTCACTCAGAGAAAGAGGTAAGAAAACAGATAAATACAGTAAGCTCAATAGTCAACCAACACAAGAGAGGAAAAAAAATCTGACTAGTTCTAGTGGGATATCAGTGTGTCCCAGAATAAGATTAGTACCATATGAGAGCAATTTCACCCTCCCAGCTTTTCCTAAAGTCATGGAAATTGAAAGACATGCCAGGTATGTCCTTTTGATGATGAGAGAGTGGGGGTATATTCTGTGTGGGAGATGGCAACACACCATGACATGCCAGAGTACAGTACAGTTCTGTATACTGTACCTCACCATGGCCTTTTAATTACACAAGTATTCCAACACCAAAAAATGAAAGTTTAGAAAACCTGATTCAGTTCTTATACAATGGAGGGTTTGCATATAGTAAAGAAATGAAGCGGGGGGAAAAAAACTACGTCTGGGTGTGTAACCACGGATAAGACGAGGAGGGTGGTGGGGGAGGAGGGAGAGTGCTGGCTGGACTTAGAGGACAACTCTCACACGCTCGCCAGCCTGCGATCCCTTTATAACAACAGCATATGCTATTTCACCATAATTCCCATATTATTTAAGTTCATTTGGTGCTGGGATAATAAACCATTATTGTAAAATAATAAATTTTCCCCCAAAACTTCCCACAATAAACTTCAGAAAAATCATTGTGCCGTATTATACTCCTGGTCTCTTGGTTATACTGTATAGCAGTATCAGCTGATCCTTCATGCTCTCCCTAACACTCACCTTCTCTCAAGCACCATTGTTATTACTGCTCAAGAGGGTTGGTGCTTGCCACAGGATCTATCTTCAGCACTTAATAAATAATATTGTAGCGTATTTATCAGAACATATAAATATTATAGTAGTGAGTAATACGTCTCCATATGCCCTGGTTTATTCATGGATCAGTTGCCAAAGTGTACAAGTAACCAAATCAAGCCATCATGTATCACTGAATGGTAATAAATAACATTATTAATCCGGATTTCGGATAATTCGGACAAAATCTGAACGAACTTTTTTTTTTTTGTAGGAATATTACCTACGCGGACCTTAAGCTAAAATGCTGGTCCACCCACTGCTGGGATAAAACACCAGCGTCTTTTTGGTTAAATGTAACATCTCCACCACTAGTGTGGGGAGGGGATGCAACTTTTAGCTTCAGACATGAAAAATATTTACCATTTACTGCCAGTAAACAATGGAAACGTAAAATATGTACCAATTAGTAATGAAAAGTTGTGCAGTTCCTTCAGCAGATGAAGCTCACCAATTTACAATAGGCTAAATTACCTTACAACGTGTTTTCAGTAGTCTATGTTGAAGTTCTTAGCACAGGCTAACTTATCATATCATATACGGTATCACAGTTCTCATTGATCTACAAAAAATACTGGTAATAAAAACCTTTTTGATATTTCACACTTAATATAATACCCGGTAATCTACTTCAACCTCCTATTGTTTACAACGACGCATGACGCACCACCAGCTGTTGAGTATCAGCTAGACGGTAAACGTGTTTTTCGAATCGTTTTCAGTTAAAAAACTGTTACATCACACGTATATTTTACCTTAACTGTGCCTGAATGAATATATTCTCGGAAATAAATAGTAGTTTTGCTGAAACGTGATGTATTTCAATGTAAAATAGGATAAAATACATGACGAAAACAAAAGATTTTACCTAACCTTCCGATGTTCTTGAGATGTTATTCGTTTTTTTACTAGTTTTCGGTTAAAATACTGTTATATTACAATGATATTCTATTCATACTGTGCTTGATATAATACATTCACGGAAATGTAATATTTTTGCTGAAATTACTTACGTATTACAGTGGAAAGTGGGATAAAATCGTGACGAAAACAATGACTTTGAAATATAATGCAATATTAACCCCTAAATCGGTTAATTCGGACAATCGGCTAAAACGGACACCCTTCCCCCCTATTAGTCCGAATTAATGAGGGTCGACTGTACAGCATGTTAAAATGACCCCATTCTAGGCTGATTTGTTAAAATTTCTCTCCAGGAACACATCCTCAGCTTTCAAGGGGTATTACTGCACACGCTCACCAAAAACTTCTTGAATGCTATAAGAACTATGCAATCTGAAAAAAGAGCAAAGAATCTGAAACCATTCCAAGATGACAAGCCCCATTCTGCCCATTCTCACATCCATCGTGCCCAAGTATTCGAGAAGTTTTTGTTGAGAGTGTACATGCCGGAATGCATATAAGTGATATCTCTGTTAGCCGGAACAATTGGTGAAGAGCACTTCCTGGAATGAGAGAGTTCCGGGTAACGAGACGACTCTCTCAAAGCTGGAAAAATCCCCCAACTCGGGAATTTTCCGGGAACCGGGAAAAATTTAACGGAAGTTCCGGAAATTGCGCATTACATCTCTCAAAGACGTAAAAAATTCCCCCATCCCCCAAATTTTCTGGGGACTGGAAGAATTATCTTGGAATTCTCTAGACAATGCCCCCTTTGGAAAAATGTACCCAAACCCATAATTTTCCAACATATAATGAGAACCCCCCTCTACAGAACCCCCATGCTGAACTGTACAGTATAACTGCATAGTTTATAAACATGCTTATCCAATTGTAAATCTGTATGACAATTTTACTGAATAAATATTATTATATTATAATTATTACATTATAATTTTGTGCTGCTGTAGATTTATAAATAATTATCAGATCACTACAGTTGCTGGTACTTTTATGTGTAAATACTATTCAAGTGCAAAGAAAATTATGTTTAATTATTTTCTTCATGTTATAGGCCCGGATGAAGAGGAGATTGAAAGTGATAGATTCATCTTCCCGAAAAGTCTTGAAAAAGTGGCAGCATCGGAGAACAAAGACTCTTTAGAGACTCTACTCAGAGGGTTTTTTGAATTTTACGACCAATTTAACTTCAGGGAACGAGGTCTATCTATTGTAACTGGAAATAGTTTCATTAAACCAGAGCATAATGCTTTGTACATCCAAGTAAGTTTAAGTTGTTTCAGTAGGACTGATAGTAAGTAGCTTTAAATTCAAGTAGAAAATTACAGTTTAACTGAGAAAATATGGCAGATTTTGTTGCTTTTCTGAACAAGGTCACTTTCCCTATAACTTCACTTGAATCCATTAGCATATCCATGTTGAAGTTCTAAAGGAAAATTACAGTTCAGTGTAATGGTGAATACAGTAGTCACTTGGAGATTCCCTCCCTCCCTCTAGTGTATCCCACCTGAAGTTTAACCACTCTTAACACTACCTAGGTGGGCTAACCTTTAGGTGATCTATAAATGCTAAAACTGTGAGTGGTCTCAGTCTTTGTGTCGGACCCTGTGATCTCGACTACAGCACTGGATCTGAGGCAGTTGATGAAGTTTGATCACTTTAGGCACTTTATAACATGTCAACAATCAATTAAAAGAGGTCAGAGCATCTCATATTATTATCAACAGTGAAATTCTTAAGCTACATTATCTCTCTTTTCAAGATATTTGGGTCCCCAATATGAAGGTGAAGGGTAATCTTATTTTTAAATACTGTATACAGATGTTTACCAGCAAACTTAAGACATGTTGGCTATACTGCACAGAGTTACTTGAAACACACTTGATTTACATTTTTGGTGTTTTTTTTTCTCCATCATAATGCTGTGGATCCACATCATATCAGCAGTTTCTTTATTTTAATTTCCATTAACATATGAGATGTCTTATTTCCTCAGAATCCTCTAGAGCGTGTACTGAATGTTAGTCGTAATGTGACTCTTGAGGAAGTAGAAAGGTTTCGTGCAGAACTTACTCATGCAAGATATCTACTAGAAGGCAGCACCCCAGATGTTGTGAGTTAATAAGGATTATATTTTTCAGTAGACTTAGTAACAGCTTTTAGAAATAAAGTACAACCCTGTCAGGGGTCAGTCAAGTCACAAATAATTAGCAAATATCCCAAACTGTCGGATTCCCCAGAGTAAGAACTTACCTTCTGTTTTAACCAGTTCAGTGGTTTATGTGTTGAGGATTATCAGAAGATGTTTGCAGATATGGTGCCAGAAGTCCAGTGAATGTTCCCACAGGTAGAACGTTTGTTTAGGCTTCTGTTTGTTTCTCCAGCAAGTTACGTTCCACCATGACCCATCAACGTCACAACCATCTCATGATCTGCAATGTTCATGGAGATAGAATGTCCTGTATAGTACTGACCTGATGCATTGTCAGGTCACCCATTGTTGGAGTGGGGAATTATTGGATCTCATGACCTGAAGATATCTTGAAGAAAGATACTTAACTTTTTTTTTTTCTCCATTACATGCACACACAATCTTACATACAGAATGTGCAAAAACAAACTTACCACAAAGTCAGAAACATAAAAGGAAATAAACTTTCTCTGTGTGTTAAGAGTTTATGCTAAGTGGGGGAGGTTGGAGTGAGGGATATCAGCTGTCTTTCATGTGTAGTCAAACGATTGACAAATTTATTTGTCCAGCAGCCAAATGGGAACACCCTGTAGATATTTTTTTATTATTTTATTTATTATTATTGATTTATATATACTGTACAGGGAAGGTGAACGCTGATGACACGTTACGCAGCAGAAAACTCGCACTCCTACCTTTGAATTGTTCTCGGCTCAATGCACTCTGTACCTCCCATGGATGCAGACAAAAAATGGCCGCAAATTTCAATGATAGTTTCCTTGAGTTGCTTACTGAATCTTTGGATTTTGTTCAGTTTCTGTTCAAGACAGATGTAAAACAGTGTGGCTCTTTTGTCCTCGAAATAGCAGGATTACAGACTGACAACGGGGCAAGGATGAATTTTGCCATCTATGATGACATATCAATGTTTGGGGTTATTTATCAAACTGACATTCAGTGGTTAAAAATCGAGCTATCAAGGTTCTGATGTAATGTGGAAGTCTGTGACGCAGCTTTCTCGTCAATGGTGTTTATAAAAATTATCACTGTATCCGTATATTAAACTTAGAGAATTGTCTGCTATGTTGTTTAATCACACAATTATACCCCCCAGTTAACCGAAAATTTATTAAATTATAATGCACACGTGTTACATGCGAATTATGACTGATGTAACTTGTAATGAAAATTAATTATATGATGACACACACAAGTCACATACAAAATACATACAGTATGACAGAGATGTAACTAAGAAAATTGTATGTTGTATTGCTTAACCATGTAATTATATCCCCACGTATAGAACATTAAATGATCATATGTCACATATTAAACATGACAGAGTTGTAGCCTCTGTTTCTGCCAGTGTTTACTGTTAGACTTCTCAGTTATGTAATACATTTTCCTTACTTGTTTTTACGGTTAAATACATATATCAATATGTCCGTATTTACTCTAAGGATCCTCAAATATACAGCATACTGTCGCACTGGATGGGTGACAGTACTAGATGGGGTTGCACTGGAAAATGCTTGGAAACCTCTGCTATATAAAACTTACACCTTGACTAATGTCACTTTCCAGCATGGACTTCTATTAGGATCTAAACTTTAACATGTTGATTCCCTTACACAAATGTTAGTTTCAATCAGGGCCAAGAGCTATGCAAGAGGTTATAATAAATTGACGAAGGCGATGTTTCAAGCGAAATCCCATGAGTAAAACCTACTAACACTGAGGTCAGAGGAATGACATCATGGCAATTTGTTCTATTCTATTTTGTGTAGCTATTCCGATAAAACTTTGTTCTTTATCGAAATTACTGTAATGTACTCCCAAATTCAGCTTCCTGAGGTACTGTACTTACCAGGATGTACAGTTGGGAAAAATGGAATCTTAACTGTCTGTGATTTTTTTTTTCCTTTTTACAAGTAACACAGTTGTGACAACTGCAAGCAGTCGTTTGAAAAAGTAACACCAAACGGCCAAATGTCAACGAGGGTGCAGGCGACGCGCCGCAGTGGTGGCGACGTATGTCATTGATTTTTAAGTTACCAGTTATCACCTTTGGCAGCACACAGTGCTATAGGGTGTTAAAGTTACTTACTCTATATTCCTTGATCATCTGACTGATGTCAGCAGTCACACCACGCAAACAACGCAGTAGGACTTTAGGATGACGTAATAACCCATCAGGGGTTGAACGTGGCATTTTTTCTTTCTTAGAGATTGTATCTACAATCTGATCATCAAAATATTTCTAATTTTGTCAACAGGATGCTGAGAGAAATGAACCATGGGGTGCGCTCTGTTTATGGGATGAGAGTACTACCGGCATTGCAAATCATCGGATACTAGAAGCTTCCCCAAATTATTCCATTGATTGGAAAGAAGTGTTCCACACTGAAGATGCTAAAGGACAAGCTTCTTCTGTTCATGAAAAAAATGCATCTTCTTTCAAACTTAAAAGTGCAAGGAGTAACAGAGAATACAAAAATTTTACCAAACAAACCTTCAACGAGAATGGTATATTAGGAAGAGGAATGGAACTTAAAAATGCTTCTGAACTCAAAGGTTTGGTAACTAAATTGAAACAGAAGACATCTCAGAAAGGAAATAATGGACGTAGAAGTAAATATAATTTTAAAGGTAAATATAAATAACTTTTGGGGGGGGCTGAATTAGAAGCTGTTATTACTTTTGTATGATACCAAAAGTTTTATGAACTGTGATTGAATGTAAATAATTTTTTATTATTATGTACTGTATTTCGTTCTTGTGAGGTAATTTTTATAAATTTTTTGCTTGTGTATGTTACTGTAAATAATATGTGCTGTATATTATATAAAGCTCTAAAAAAATAGATGTACATTTACAAATAAATTTCTTTTCTTTATTCTTTTTGTATTAAATTCCCTACCTTTGAGTTTTAATGTATGTTATATTAATTAAAAGCTGTGTCTGTGCTTTTAATCCAAACCTTTTACTAAATATAATTTTTGTTTGAGGAAAATAATTTATGCTTTAAAACATGATATCAGACATAATTATGTTTTTAACTCTATGCTGAGGTGGCCTTTAATCTGTCCTGCAATACAAGCTTTATCATTTAATCTGTTTTCCACTACATGTTTCTAGATACAGTATCTTCAAAATGTCTTTATTATATTATTTTTTACCATTTCACCGCTTATCGGCTTACTAGCCATTCTGTCGGTCAGTCTGTTCTTTGTTACTTTCTTACGACTTTAATAGATTACAGAGGAAACCAAAGTACCCAGAGAAACCCTTAGATGTTTGGTCGTGTTACTTTCCCCCAAATCAATTTTTGTGGTTTGTTAGACATAATATACAAGTAATGTCAGGAACTGTATAGCTGAATTTAGACACATCTCCAAATAATGCAAAAAAAGTCAATGTAAACCTCCGGTGACCTCTCAGCCACTGAGAGCTAAGAAAATTAGCAAATTACTGTATACATAATCCCTACAGATTTCTTCTTCATGGGTACAAGAACAAGAGCAATCAAACCATGACTGTAAAGTGAAAGTTTTGGAAGATGGGATAAACGCACTCATACCACCCAGTATAACCCCGGTAATGGTGTCAGCACATACCAGGGGGTCCCAAGTGTAAAAGTACCATTCATCCCAGGGAAAGTCGGAGAAGAATTCTCACAAGGATTGCCAGTGTGCTCTCCGATAGTACCATAGTTGGCATTTAAAGGGGGGTGGGGGAGGTGGTCGCAACCAGTTGGATTTAATAGAAATAAGATTGTGATTAGAACACCCTAAGGGGGCAGAAATTGAATACAGGTAAATGAATAGTGTGACAGGTACGAAGTAAAATAAAGATCAAGAACGTTATCAAGTTTGCCCCACAAGGGAGCTAGTTTTCTGGGCACCCCTTTGCATCTCGTGAAAGGTGAAGCGCAAAAGCATTTACAGCGCCCAACAGGGAAGCATGTGGAGCAAGCCGCACTATTGTTCAAGATCATAAAGTAAGGGAAAAGAGAGAGAGTGCCTCAACTCCACCTGGGTCATCCCTTGCAGAGCCAAGACACTCTTGTGATGTACACTGAAAACCCCTAGATAGAGGATCTCAGGTTTGCCGTTTGGGGTGTATAGACAACAGCGACTCATGACAAGAAATGAGATAGTCAGAGTCCCATATAGTTGGTAGAACAGTAAAGGAAACAAAGAAAAATAGTCCTAGTTGGTATAGATATTTTGAACCAGATATGTTGGAGCCTAATCTTAAAACCTACAGTCTTAAATTTACAGCAATACATTGGTAGTTGTGCAGTTTTGAAGCTGTACTGTAGTTTCTTTTTTAAATGTTGGTCATCAATAAACCAGAGAGCACAATATGAGGTGTGAACAAATGGTGTCACTGATATAAAGAACATAAAGGTATTTACAAATACCTTTATATCACTACTAAAATGATGGTAGCCTGTTCCAAAAAAAACTACAATAAAGTGCATTGGTTAACTGTCTGTAGTATTTTTGTTCATATAAAACAGTGTAACATGTGTAAAGCTATATCTACCACCAGCTCTCTTACTAAAGAACCAAAGGGCGTATATTCCCTAAGTTGACAAATAATTATTTTTATTGCAAAATAATCAATGGGGTACTTTGAGAAATTATCCCTAGGTATCTAAAGTTGAAAATCAATAACCTACGGCCGATATAATTGTTTTAATAATTTGGTGTACTGTAAATGGAAAATATCCTGTAAGGTACAATAGGCTTAACTCGTACAGTGTCAACGGTGTAACAGTTACGCCGATATACTTTGGATATAAATGAACAAGTACTGTAAAATCTATACTTATAATGCAAAAGTGAAACCAAATAAAAAAAATAATAATTATAAAATCATACCAAAAAAATAAATAATTATAAAATCATACAAAAAAAAATACGTATTGGTGAAAATTGTTATGAAAATGAGTGTAAATAATACGAAAAAGGATGAATATATTGATGTTCCGAAATCGAGATAGACGATAAATAAAGAAAAAACATCTACAGTGAAAACTTAGGGTAATTAACATAATTCCACTCACTCGATGAAAACCGACACCCGTAAAACTCTATGGGTTTACTCCTACACTTTCACCCATGGTCCGGTGAGTTGCTAAATGATGTTTTTCCTACATTGTATGATAGTATAAGTCCATTTCAGCCATAAGTAAAAAAATTGCCGATGCCAGTCGAATATAATCATGTTAACTTAGCTGCCGCCATACGGGATAATGAGTTTTTTTTTACTTTCCAGCCGCTTGGTGACGCCACCATCCCGGAGAATAAAAAATTTAACAGAGAGCTATCCTCTTATAGTCTCAGAATCCTTGGAGAAACAACTCCTTGACAAATGTATAATGTGTATGCTTATGTGCTTGTGCTATTCCATGCTTCTTAAAACGCCTTACAATAAACGCCTTATCTCTGGGGAGTTTTTTTTATATATAAATACTTCGAGCCGAAATTGGCCGGATTCTCCCAGTAAAGAAAATGTTCTGTGCAATATAATGTACATTTATTTTGTATGTAATTATAAAAGCAAAAGTATAATATAAAAAGGTTGATATATCACCAAGGGGTTACGGCAGTGATACAACTCTGTGATACTCAAGGATTACTAATATAGACACCTGATATTTACTTACTATTCCCCAAACTGATTAATTTTTTTGGCATTTTTTATTAAAATAATCAATATAAGTCAGCCTTAAATCTATTTCGATCTGCATGAAAATATAGATGATTATCGCCCTTCAATAATATTTATCATAACTATCCCTCCCATCATCAAGGAAACCTCTCCACCTTCAATTATATTTGTCAAGTTTTCAGGTATTTTATTGATTTTTTTAATTGAATCCTCATACCAATGATGCCCTTATTAAGCTGTTCCCTTTATTATTCTAGAGTTAAGCATAATGTGTGTAGGGAGAAGGTTAATATGTAGGTAGGGTGTTATGGTTACAAAATGATTAACTCATGTGTGCCATACAGTAGAGGCAGAACCTTTATGGTTAATATTGACCACTAACCCGCAGACGAGTCATTTGTTTTACTGTTTATTTTCTTACTTTATATTCATCATTGAGTTTTGATATGATAATCATTTCTTGTGTAAATGCTTTGTTTGGTAGATAATTAGGGGCAGATGCACAATACTTTGTCTCTTCAAGCCGTCCTGGTTTGATCAACGCTAATGCTTAAGAACCGATAGGTACGGATGGCCACTTTCACGTCCACAAAAAACGTAAAATTACACCGTATGGTTATCATAGTAAGTTCTTTCTGTTTGTTATACTAGGGGGTCCAGGGCTAGGGAGTTAGGTAAGGTAGGTTTGTTTGGTTAGGTTGGTGAAGTCTTCTTTCAACACTTCTGCAGCTTTTTTTTAATGTAGCAGGTTAGGTTAGGTTTAAAATAGAAATAACCACTTTTTAACACACTTGCACAAACTACGACAAGTGTCCACTATAGGCTTTTATTGTAAGGCACTTTAAGATGCACGGAGTAGCTAACGCTTTAGCTTTCCCGGACTGTCATTAAAAAATACAACATTGTACTGCGTCTTGGGAATAACTGTTGTACAACAGTCTTCAGAAAACACTAAAATTAGGAGAACTGTACGTAAAGGACACCATGATAGCTTTATACTTCAGTAGATTATACTGAAGGATTCAAGGATTTGAGAGGTATTGGTGTAATATTTTCCTCCATTACTTACATGGCTTGATCCATTTTTTCCTACATGAAAGGTGTTCCACAGCCTCCACTTATGTACGTTTTCTCTCGTCTTGTGGCTACATTGTGTTGTTTACAGCTATAAAGGTCATGTTCGTTCAAATCCCAATGAAAAAACATAAGATACATTCTGTATTCTACTGTTCATAAAATGAATAAAACTAACTCACCAAACCTAGCTTAACCTAACCTATAATACTGCAATTTTTTTTTCAATGTTATTTAATTTATTTTTTAATATGATTTTTTAGCTACAGTACTGCTACATTCATAAGAATGGAGGAAAATGCAGTGGGCCTATTGGCCCATACTGGGCAGTCCAATTTACACCCAACCCCTATTGCTCATATATCCATCCAACCTGTGTTTGAAGCTATCCAGCGTATTCGAGTTAATGATGATACAGTGGTCCCTCGGTTAACGAACACAATTCGTTCCAGAAGGTCGTTCGTTAACCGAAACCATTGTTTCAATGGGATTTTGGGTAATTGGTTCCAGCTCACCGAAAATTACATACAAAGTAAAAAAAAAATGCAGTAAAGTGCACTTACTTTGAGGTGTGTATGTAGAAGGCTCTTGGTTGATGATGATGATGGGAATTAGAAGTGGGGGTGGAGAAGAAGGGAGAAGAGAAGGAAGTGGGGGTGGAAGAGAAATCACCCCATGCTTCATGCCGTCATTTCACCCATAAAATTTTAAGTTCACAAGGTGTAATTCAAGATTATTTTCTTTAAATCAACACTGCACTATATATTGTCAATATGCTAAATAAATTTCAGAATGACCAATAATTATACTGTAAAAACGTAAAAATAGTCTATGTTCAAGAGAGCCACAAGCAAGAGGTTACTTCCACTGACCAGAGATACAAACTGACGCCTTGGTGGGTGAGTCAAGTGGCTGTTGGGCACACCAAAAACTAGTTTCCTGTACTGCAATTATGTTAAATAAGTGTTAAAATGACTAAAAATTTTAATATAAAAATTGGAATATTATTGAATAGTACAACCTTCTTGATATTTACTCAAAAGGGAACGAATTTAAGCCCCAGAACCGATTACTGTATTGGCGGACTAATATTCCAGCTGGTGAGCAAGCGAAAACATGTTGACATGATTTCGTAAAAATTTCGTTAACCGAATTGAAGATTCTTATGGAAGGTAATTTGTTAACCAAAATTTCGTTAACCGAGGCGTTCGTGAACTTGTTCCACTCGTCCACTACCCTATTTCCAAACCAATGTTTACCTATTTTGCTACTAAATCTAAATTTTTCTGATTTAAAACCATTGTTACGAGTTTGCTCCTGGTTGGATAGTTTGAGTACCTTTGTAATGTCCCCTTTGTTTAGCCCTGACTTCCATTTATACACCTCTTATCATATCGCCCCTCGCTCTACGTCTCTCGAGGGAGTGCAAATTAAGATGCTTTAACCTGTCTCTGTACTCAAGGTTCCTAATGCCCGGGATTAGTCTTGTCATTCTCCTCTGAATTCTATACAGCTCCTCCCCAACTTACGACAGGGTTAGGGACCCAAATCCAGGTCGTAAGTCGAAATGGTCGTAAGTCGAAAATGGTTAAATAATACATAGAAAATCTAAAATGGGTGTCTCTTTTTCTTCTCAGTACCACAAAACTCTCACTTTTAAGCTTGCCAACCATTTTAAAGTGAATTACAAATGAAAATTTTGTCTGTGTACCAACGTTGGTACTCGAAAATACGTAATTTGACAAAATTTTGGTACGACTGAGGCAGGTCGTAAGTGCGGGTGGTCGTAAATCAAGTAGGTCGTAAGTCGGGGAGGAGCTGTACAGTGAGGGTCTCATTTTACATGGGTCTCATGTACGTGGTTATTGCTTATGTGATTGGTTGAAATGTGACCATAGTTGTAGCTTTTGTGCAAAGTCATGGGTAGTGGTATAGCCTTAATTTAGTGATCTTTTGTTTATTTAGGTTAATTTAACAAAAAAGGGACTCTGGATCACTCGAAGTACTAAAAAAAACAGTGCTTGAGAGATGGTGAGTGGTGGCAACACTGTCAGGGAGAGTAGCTGATACTGCTCTGGGATTGAGTGTTGGATTTTTAGGGGAATTAATTATTTTTTGATAATATTTTATTAACCCGGCACTAAATGAACCTAAATACTATACCTGTAATATGGGAATTATGTTGAAACCGCATACTGTACTGTTGTTTTAAAGGGATCGGGGTGGCGAGTTGTCCTCTCCCTCCGCCGCCCCTCACCGACTATGCACCCGAACACAGTTGTGTATCGTTTATCCAATTCATATTTTATTCCTATAATTCATCTTAATCTATTTCATAATATATTCCTTTAATAATAATCGAATTTTTGGATCCACATTATTATATCAAATTTGAAAGAAAAAAAGAATTAAGACAAAATCTAAATTAACAGGGACTTTTAAGAATGGAACCCATATTAATAATGAACTAGTGTACTGTGCAACTGGAAATAACTACAGGGTATATAGGTAAAAAATATAGATAGAGAGAGAAATAGAATGCTGTTGAATCAAACTACTTTTACTTATCTAATTACTATGTATTCAGTTGTATCACTAGGGAAGCAGAAATGGGGCTTCACTGAACATAATTTTTTGTTTGACACCATATTGGCTCTATCTATTTAAATGATTCATCACATAGTCTTTATTAGGTTTCTTGAGGATCATGTCTTTCTATTCTTTTTATTTCAGGAGATTGAGTCAGGATGGGGAAGGCAGAGAAAGGTACGCCAAAGGACTTGGCCAACAAGATGAAAGCCAAGGGTTTACAAAAACTCCGTTGGTATTGTCAGATGTGTGAAAAGCAATGTAGAGATGAAAATGGTTTCAAATGCCACACTATGTCAGAAAGTCACCAGCGACAACTTCTCCTCTTTGCTGAAGACCCTGATAAGTACCTGGATAGCTTTTCTCAGGAATTTTTGGATGGTTACACTAGTCTTCTCAAACGTCGGTTTGGCACAAAGCGTGTTCAAGCAAACAATGTGTATCAAGAATATATCCAAGATAGACATCATATACATATGAATGCCACACAATGGGAAACTCTGACTGATTTTGTTAAGTGGCTGGGTCGTGAAGGCCACTGTGTAGTGGATGAAACAGAGAAGGGTTGGTATGTGGCTTATATTGACCGAGACCCAGAGACAATTAGAAGACAGGAGCAGCTTAAACGAAGAGAAAAGTTTGAAAAAGATGAAGAAGAAAGAATGCAGGACTTCATTAAAAAACAAATTGAACTAGGGCGTTCAAAGATGAATGATGGCGAGGCCCAATATACAGAGTTACAGCGTGATGAAGGTGAGACGATAGCACTCAACATTAAACTAGGAATGACAAAACAAGCTAAGCCTAAATTGGATGTTGCTGGTAATATACTAAAGGCTCCATCAACTAGCAAGATCAAGACCCAAGAAAAAATAAGAAAGGATGCCAAAAGGCGTACAGCTTTAGATGACATTATGGAAGAAGAGATGAAAGGAAAGAAATTGAAGGAAGAAATGGACGTTAAAAATCAAATAGCAGAAAAGGTTCAAACTAAGGAAGGTTCTTGGTTAACCAAAAATATTGTTGTTAAAGTAATTACCAAAGACTTAGGCTCCAAATACTATAAACAGAAGGGAGTGATTCGAGAAGTCATCGATAAATACATTGGTTTAGTGAAGTTACTCGAGTGTGGAACTAAGTTGAAACTCGACCAAGCACACTTAGAGACTGTAGTTCCCTCCAAAAACAGAAAGGTATTGATCATTGGAGGCCGATATCGAGGACAAGAGGCTGTGCTCAAAAGTATTCAAGAGGAAACCTTTAGTGCTACCTTGGAGCTGCAAGAGGGTAAAACTGTAGATGGAGTACCATATGAACACTTCAGTAAACTGTATACTTCTTGATTAAATAAATAATAAGTTTGTTAACCATTCAACTAGATGGTATTCTAAGGCATTACTTAACTCATGATTCTCCAGTATATTTTTCCATCCACACAACATGAGGTAGAAGTTTGTGGGGAACCATTAACTGTGAGCAGAGTTTACATACAGTAATTGTATTTGCCAAAAGATCTCAAGAGTTGGATGTAATCATTTATAGACCAAACCTCAGTCTTACTTAGGATGCCTGAGGGGAAACAGGACACCATGCCATCAAGTAATCATCCATGCATGTGTGGATAATGGCTGTAAAACAGTGACGATGATAATATGTGAGCAAGACATATTTTGATGCAGGTTGTAAGTGTTTGTTTACTTGGTGTATTGACAGTGAAAAATAAAGCTAAAGTATTGTTGACCTTTCTGAGGTGCTGTAATATAAGAAAAGAACAAAGGATTAAGTCACACATTTTTAGCATTAATATGGTGTTCAAGTTACAGTAATTATAAATGTGGCATAAAGTTCTGTGTTCAAGTCATTGTAAGAATAAACCACTATTAAATTAATTGATACATGTACAGTACAACACTAAAGATTGACATCAATATTCCCAATGGCAGGAAATGTTGAGAAATTTAAAAAAAAATCTTTTGGGGTTATTATAAAAAGCAAATGTTATTGGATCCACAGTAAACAAACTGTGTACCTTTGATATTATTAACCTACTCTACTACAGTATTTTGTATCATGGAAAAAAAAAAAAATATTTTTGTGAAGCTGAACAACAATCTTGTTTAGTAATGATCAAGGATACTTAATATTGTCTAGGTTAGGGTTCTGGGTATTACATCAGTCATTTGCTCCAGGAATTAGATCATATATTAATTTGTTAGAACATTTAATAATAGAATACAATTAATCTAAAAATTTATTCTACCCAATATTTTGTTTAAATATCTTCATCTCATTTCAAGCACAGTAAGAAATTAATAATTTTCTTTTACAGTACAGTAAAAGAAAAAAAACTAAGATACTGTACTGTATAAGAGTAGAGGTACTGTACAGAACTGTATACTGTATTAAAGCTTGAAATGAAAACAGTTTGGCAGGATCTTTGTTAAATTTAGATTTAAGTGAGAAAGTCTATTTAATTTACCTTTATAAATTTATAAGTATGTTCAAATATTTAATGAAAAATATTTTAGGTAATAAATGTTTTAGATACACAGTTGGTAGTTATTAATCACCCATGAATGATAAATTATTTCTGAAAAATTCCAGAAACTCTTTCCAATTTCTTATTACAGTACTGGTTCTGGGAACAAATACCATGGTTGAAAATTGGGCTCATTTTCTGACAATTCGCCCCAAAAATCCAGCACTCCATTCATATAATAAGTAGACTTTAGAGGAAAAACCATACAGTACTGTCTGCCACTCCTTTGGTGTTCTTCCCTCTGTCAGGCAGAGCCTTTGCACTCTTGTCATCCATTTCATCAATATTCCATCTCGCATTCTTATCATAGGCGATTCTATCTACAGCTCCTCCCCGACTTACGACGGGGTCAGGGACCCAAATCCAGGTCGTAAGTCGAAAATGCTTAAATAATACATAGAAAATCTAAAATGGGTGTCTCTTTTTCTTCTCAGCACCACAAAACTCTACTTTTAAGCTTGCCAGCCATTTCAAAGTGAATTACAAACGAAAATTTTGTCTGTGTACTGATGTTGGGACTCGAAAATACGTAATTTGACCAAATTTTGGTACAACTGAGGCAGGTCGTAAGTGCGGGTGGTCGTAAGTCAGGGAGGAGCTGTACTTTGTGCTTTCCCATTCTTGAGGTTACAGTTGGTCTCTTTTTCTCCTTCCTTGTGCCTTTTCTCTCTAATGCTTTGCCACTTAAACAATACAATATACTGTAATTCCAACTTTCTCTAAACTTTTGCACTTGGTAGTACTGTAGTTGAAAACATTTTTCCAATCTCCCTTTCTCTCCACCTTTTCTTTCAATATGTCCTCTCATTCATTCTTATCTACCATTTCCATTTGTTGTTTTGGTTTTCTTATCTACAGTAATTTCATTCCTTCCAGAAACTTCACTCTAAAATATTGTAATAGGTTGGTACCAGCAATTATCTTCTCTTCTTTTGCCATTATCTTTAATTTCTTTCTGATAGTGTATGGTGCAATGTAGGATTTGCAAGCATCAATCGAGTTAAGAAACTTATTTCTTCATAGCATCCCATAGGTTTGTGGAACAAAAAATACGTTGTTCGACAAAGGACTGTTTTACCATGCTTAATGTCTACTTCAATATTCTCAGGTAACACCTGCTTTGCCATGATGTTGTGAAGCCTAGGAGAAGTGTTGGCAAATGGGTTGCAAGGTTCAAGCGTTGTCATCAGTTGGTTAACACATACAGGTATCTCTCTGAAGGAATTTAGCTGGTGATGATGAGATTTAACTGCTGTTGTCATTCCAATCATTTCTTCAGTCTCTGTAGCCAGTGTTGCTCATTCAGGAATAGAAAGACAGAATTTTTTTGAGGAGTGTTGCAGGCCTATTAATTATTTCTTTCAAACCACCTTCACCTTTGAGGATTTTATTGAGGAATTCTTGTCCTTGTTAAACACCTGTACCCGTAAAGGTTGATCCACATTTACCGAAACGTCTCTGTTCCACCGCAGACCATCAACGTTCCGTCAAAATTTCCCTGTATAGTACAGTATTTACATTGACCTAAATGGTTCCGTTAAGTCTGTGTGCACTTGACGAATAGGCAGGGCGGGAAATTTGAAACTCGCAGCGATTGAAGAAGAGGGGGGAAATAAATTGCCCGGTAAAAAGAAGAGTGTGGGTTCACAAAAGCTTGAGAAATAGAAAACAGAAGGGGAATATTAACAGTACTGTACTTCAAAAATGTCAAAATATAAATTCATGTTGCCAATAAAAATATAGACATGGATTTGACCAGAAGTAACACTAAATGTCAGGAAGCACTATCACCAAAGGAGAGATTGGCTGTGTTTTCAGTTGTAGACTGTCACATGCAAGGTGAGTTCTAGAGAACACCTTCGGTATGTCACATGACCCTGAAACTACTGCTTGACAATGCAGATTATTGTATTGTTTTTGCTTTGCAACTTGCATAATTACATAAAGGACCAGAATGTCATAGACTGTGCAAGCATTAAGCCTACAAGCATGGTAAACAATTTCATTGCTGTAGTTTGACACGGAGGAAATGCCCATCAGAGCGCATTCAATGTGAGAGAAATTTAAAAACTTTATCGGCCCTTCTGGATCTGTGCCTTGGCAGTGACAAACCTATTTTTTCCCTTTTGTGAGCCATTTTGCAACTACGGGACATGTCTCGTGTGCACAAGGAATAAAAACTATGGCTTAAAGCTGTAATTACCTGAAATATACAATGTTAAATGAAACTAATAAAAGAGGATTTTCACCTGGTTTGTTTACTTCATCTATTGTTTCTCATAATTTCTCCTTAAATAGGTTATCACTGTACTTCTTCTTTGACATGATATATAGTTCTTCAAACCTACGAACCAGTTCAATCAACTTTTCATCCATGCTGCCAAGAATACGCTGAATATACTGAGTGGACCGAGTCACATCCTTCCTTTTGCTCTCAGATGCAACCAGAACATGACTGACCACGTGCAGGATGTTGTTCACACTATCAGTATCATACATGAAATGGTTTGGCTCAGGAGAGTTCCGTTACGTCAAACTATTCTTCCAGAGAAACCGAGACTGGACGGGAAGGAGATGTACCATTACGTGACGTTGACATTGCGGATAGTGTGAACAGCTCCATTAAATTACACGGAAGAAATTTTTACGGAACGTTGATGATCCACAAAGATACGGCGACGTGCGTGAATTCACCTCGGAGGTATGCGAGTTACTGATTTGCCCTCAAGGCAAAATCACCTTCTAGCAACTTTTCCCCATGACGAATTCATGGTGTTATTTAAAAGTATGTATTTTACATTTAAGTTAAAATTTAGTTTGAAGAATAAAAAAAATATCCTATACAATGGTCTAATAACCAATTTATATTTTTACATGAATATACCATGTTTTATTGGATTATACCCCAAATTAGGCATGTTTTAACCTATCACTTGCCATTTTAAGACAATTAGCTGTTGAGTTATGGCAGAAATTGTTACAGTGGTGGCCATATTGGATTTCAAGATGGCTGCCTTAGGGGCCATAGGAAAATTGGAACCAACTCAGGATTTGTTCATTAGGGTACAGTATTAGGATTAACAAACAAAAACAAAAAAATTTGGTGACAAAATATATCCAAAAAGTGAGAAAGCTTACATAGTGACACACTATGATCTCCTTGCACACGTACCTTCTTGTAACTGTTTATATGGAAGTATAGGTGGCTACAATATAAATAAAATATAATGACTGAATTTTACATAAACATAAATGAAATAACATACAGTATACTGTATGTATAAAGAATTTAAGAAAGAGAGAGTTCCAGAAACTATTCATCTCTGTATAAAGGATTAATCTCGTGATATTTTCTATTTGTCCAGTTGAGCAAATCTCTAAAACATAAAGTTAAAATATCAAAATAACAAAAGAACTTTTTGATAGTGGATCAGGTTATAATTCATGGTGATTGGTGGCCTCATGTGCCATCTCCTGGAAGAGGGCGTGGTTTTGGTATGTTTGGATGTTATACAACATGTGGGTTCTCTCCTGGCTGGTGAACTTATCCTGGAATAGGGAGCCGTCCGCGCCCATAACGAGGGCTTTCTGGCTCTTCGTCGTGAACAAGGGCCAATCTGCCCGTGGAGGTCTACAAGATAAAGAAATTCTGTGGTAGAAACGAGAAAATACTGGAAGCAAAGCACTTCTAAAGGTAAACTAATGTGTTGCTGGGGAGGAATCACTCTAGTAATAATATAAAATTCGTTCCTATTTTTCACAGTTGTTCTTTGGATGATATTAACTGACAAAAACGATACAACCACATTCTATTTAATTTATTTATGTTTTTCGTCTTTATCTACGATCATAAATCACCTGTGGTGGGCAAGGCATGAAAAACTGATTAAATAGCACTAATTTCATGTCTCAATGTGCTCTGTATGCGAAGAAATTAAATATTTGCCATAAATATTCTGCATTAATTCTCCCATGGCTTGAGTGTCTTTTTTTCCTGTTAAGTTTCACGTTCCTGATTCTTGAGTTTATCAGCCGCACAAAACCCTTGATTTTTATTTATTTAATTTTTTATATTGGCACACTAGGTGCTTAAACCCATTTTTTTGTATAAATGATGTGAATCATATACAGGTAGTTGGTTTCAAATCCCATATTATAGGTTTTGATACATTTCCAATTCCTTTGAAGACTAATTGGATTTTAAGTGAACTGTATGTTCGTATACTTATTGTTCTTCCTCAAGGACTGAGGAAGAAGAACTCCACGTTGTTTTTCAATGGCGATGTTATTCCGTCGTGTTCGGTATAGTGTCGCAAGTTATCTGTGCTCGTGGTGGATGCAGACCTTCTCAAAGAGTTCATTTGTCAACATGGACTAGCTGGCAGGACATGCAAGTGTTCAAAATGCAACAGAGAATGGACAGTGAAGAAATATGTTTCAGTGCAACAACTGATCGCACTGTTATGCTCGGGTCTAATTTACAGTGGTATTATAATTTTGGTGAACTAGGTATTTTGATTATTTTCTATTACAAGCAGCAGTTATTTTGGCAAGTTTGGGAAGATTTTCTTGGACGTATATATTGATGTATTACCTATGTAAGAAGTTTCTAGAATGTATTGCATCATTTCTGTTATGATTTACTTGTGTATTGTTACGACCCTCTTGCCGTTTACCCAGCTTCCACCGCCAGGTTGTATATGCAGAAACAGTAGATAACTCACAAGTGTCGGGCTGTCCCGCCAGTATCCAGTAATTTCCCGACGATTGGTATCAGTGTACAGACAACAGGCAGGTAAATACCCACTAGGTCACAGAAACACACTTGTCCACTGTAGAATTAGTGACTAACCTCTTCACAACACTGTTCACAGGGTGTCTTCACATTTGTAATATATAGTCAGCACGCTACCAGTGTACAATTCCTTACTCTTTTCACTATATATATCTCACAACAATTATCTTCAGTTATCACTACTAGGATGGTACTTCACACTCAGAACAGAAACAAACGACTGACTAACTTGGCGGCTTCCTTATACCTCGTCAGACGATCCTAGAAAACCCTAGCACAATCCAGACAGGTCTGGGAAGTTATAGTATGTTTTACTCTGATCGAGGTTTACAATTGGAAGTAAATCACAATAAAAATGCTGCAATACATTCTAGAAAATTCTTACATAAGTAATGTATAAATATATACAAGAAAATCTCCTCAAACTTGCCAAAATAACTGCTGCCTGGGACAGAAAATAACCCAACCACCTAGTTTACAAACATTATAATACCAAATTATGCCTTGGCATAACAGTTTTGTAAACCTAGATCAGAGTAGATCATTCTAGAACTTACCAAGCGTATCTCGTTTCGACCTGCAATACATAGATGGCGCTAGGATGCTCTAGACGTCTGAGGAGAGGTATATAAGCACCAGGGAGGGACTTTATATCGCCCACAACAATTTCACAATACTTGAACACCAATTATCTTTAGCTGTCACTTGGCGTGTACTTCTCACTCTGATCAGAAACAGGCGACTCCACTCCCACCAGTCAGTTCTGACTGACTGGTGGGAGTGGAGTCGCCTGTTTCTGATCAGTGTTAAATACACGCCAAGTGACAGCTAAAGGTAATTGGTGTTCAAGTATTGTGAAATTGTTGTGGGCGATATAAAGTGAAAAGGCTAAGGAATTGTACACTGGTAATGTGCTGACTGTATATAGTGGAAGTGTGAAGTACTAAAGTTCAGTTGTGAGGACATACCCTGTGAACTGTTTTAGTGAAGATTAATTGATTATTAAAGATGCTTACAGTTTACAAGTGTTTCTGTGACCTGGTGGAAATCTACCTGCCTGTTGTTTGTCTGTACACTGATACCGATTGTCGGAAAATATCGGAGACTGACGGGACAGCTAGTAGTAATTCGACGACACTTGTGTTATATCTACCACTTCTGTATATACGTGGCTGCTGGTAAGCGACGAAAAGGGTCCGTAACAGTACTAGTACGTAAAAAAAAAAACACGTAAAAGTACACAATTCCCTATTCAAGATTTTTTTTCATTGGTACTAGATATCAAAGTTTTTTCTGTATAATGTGCCGGGAGGGGGGGGGGGGTAGTTAAGTAGGTTTGGTTGGGTTTAGTTGGTTAGGTCGGGTTCTGAGCATTTTCGTGTTTATTATCATGCAAATAATATCTCCAGAAATTTTAGTCCAATTCCATAGGTAAATTTTACTGCTAACTGTGTTCTCCTCCTTTACCAATCTTGTGTACTCAACGGAAAATGGCAAAACACAAATACACGTATAAGATTTAAACTGTGTGTGTGTGTCCATACATGAAACCACCAAGCTACTAACTTTCCATAAGCGTAGTTCTCTACTATGTCGAGAAGAGTTTTGCTCGCCATTCTCTGCTGGGCCGTGTAGTTGAAGGGTTTGTCGGGCAGAAGCAGCACCATCTCGTCCCCATGGCCCACAGCGTCTGGCATGGGCGGTGCTTCAGAGGGATCCGGGTAGCGTAAGGAAAATAACTTTGGTCCTCCCATGTACTCAAACCTGGTTAAAGATCACACAGATAGTCTGAGCGTTCCTGTTAGCGTCATCCACATTGTTTTTACAAGATTTAAGTCGTACAAACTGTATTGAGTCAAGACATGACATGGCAGAAAATGTCTGAAATTAGCTGATGGCTGATCGTTTAGATGTCATAGACCTAAGATAAGGAAAACACCAGCAGCGAAAATTGTCAGAATTAATGTCTGGAGAACTCTGAAATCATAAAACTATGTACCAGCTAATGTCGTGACCACCGAGTGAGAATTCTAAACTTAGGCTAGACCAGCTATGGTGTACTGTATGTTTTAAGTACATTCAAAGCTGACAAGAGGGGAAAAAGATAAGTATAAAAACTTCCCTGTTTGTTTGTGAGGATAAGATAAACTGAGTATCTAATTACAGTAGAATTTAGTGAACTTTTCACATCATGGGCAAATTTAATGCATTCTATTATTTCTAGTGAGGAGGAAGCCCCCCATAGAAATGGCGGGTACTGTATTGTACATTAGAGACGGCATATTTACCTGAACATGCGTGTTGGAACATGTCCGGAAAGTAAATTGGCAGTACCGAGGATTCCCGCCTTGTACTGTAGGTCCCCAAGCATCTGCAGGATGGAACATATTCACACACTAAAATGTAACAACTGTCAAATACAGTTAGACAGGGAAATCGTTCTTATTCTATCAATCCATATGTCTGCGTCTATTGTAAATTTTGACCTTCCAAGAGTTCACAACTCTCACTCCGAAAAAAGTTTGCTCTCACAGTTTTCTGGACCTGCGGCTTCTTAACTTGAGCTGTGACCCCTTGTGGGGCGAGCGTCCGCCAGCTCCAAGTAAGGACTCTCGACTGAGTAGTGCCCCTTGAGATGCTTATACACCCCAATTAGGTGGCCTCCTTGCCCGTCTGTAGTATAAGCTAGGCAAGTTCAGGCGCTCCAATCTCTCAGGGTAGTTGAGGTGCCGAAGTGCAGGCACCAGTCTGGTCCTTTGAACATTTTCAACCAACTGACAGTCCCTAGCATATCTCGGGGACCAGACGGGGTGACAGCACTCCAGGTGGGGAAGCACTTCACTCTTGAAGATCGTTACGAGGGACGGACCGTCTAGATATCTGAATGACCTTCTTATAAGACCCAATAATTTATTTGCCTGATTTATCTCCTTGTCACAATGGCCCGAGAACTTCAGCTCATTGTCAACATAACACACCTACAGGTCCTTCTCATATTCAGTCTCAAATATGCGGTTTCTTCATCCCCAATATTCTGTTTCGAAAAAGTAAAAGCATATATTCCAAAAAGACTTCAACCTTTGTGCATTCCTTAAACCATGTCCATCAAAACATTCCACAGCTGTGATGATGGCGACTCACCTCTGCCAGACCTGAAAGAAGTTCGTCCAGGCTGCCGAACTCGATCCCCGGGAAGTAAAAATCAGCAAACTCTTTCTTGTGGATTGCGGGGTCAGAGATGTCTGTGAAAGATCGGTGTCTGTACTTGTGCGTCTAAGTTTCATTTGGGTAATTATTTACTTTACTGTAGAATGTTGAGATGAATGATGCATTATGTCAACATTGTATGAGTTGCTTTCAGTTCCCGATGATCTAACAATTACAGTAAAGATACACTTAAACTGATAACTGAATATACTGTACAATAAAAAAAGTGAAAATTTCTTAGATCATGACCAGCAAATGCCTCTGAATTTTAAAAGAGGAACGGAAATAGGCAAAGTTTTAACTCAAATAGGTTCAACTTACGACATTCCTTAAGTAGCATCTCAAGTAGTATATTCAGAAACTCTGGGTTTTCCTTCAGCCTATACACCATAAAGTCGTAAAACACTGCAATAAAACATAATTTGTATAATTATTCATCAGTGAACACCAAGTCCCTTTACCTGGTTAAATTATAAGACATAGATTAAGTTTTAAACACCTTACGGCACATAATCCTTCAGCATAGGTAACACTACATACGAGAGGAGATAGTCACACCCTTCTGGACGTTTGTCTCAAAATTCAATTGATATTCAAAATAAGCATCGCCTTCTGACGTGATATTGTAGTGGATACTCTCCCCTACAAGCCAAAAGAACATGGGAACAAGTACGAGAGTTTAGACTAGAAACTGTAGCTAACTGGCTCGACAACGAACCAGTGAGAAGAGCAAGAGAAGAGCACGCTTGGTTCAGATTAAGCAAAATAAGAGTCAACAATCCACCATCAATACCAAAATACATCTAAAAATTATCAAATTTAATACAAAAACAAAAAGAACTGTATAGCCAATAAATACTGCACCTTCAAGTCAAGCTTCAATCTTTCAATTAAACCAAAAAGTTAGGACCACCTCCTTGTGAACAAAAGTAGCAAGTTGGATCCAACACCTCTTCTTAGAAATTAAACCTCCCTACTATAAACAAAACGCTTCAATTCTCTAAAACAGAAAAATGTTTCATTAAAAAGATGAGAGTGACCAAAGGACACTATCCTTGGCCTCTCCAACCCTTGTCTTCTTGCCCCTTCCTTCCACTCTTATTAAAACAAAAGACACGTTGCTCAGCCAGCTCCACAAGAACCTGGCTAGAGGTCGTCACCCCTTCCTTGGAACAATGGCAACTGCAAAAATAAACATATTTTTAACTAAATGAAGAAGACTTGAGAGCTAGAACCTAATCACGCAAGATGTAAGTTCAAATATAATTATTATAACCTCAGCATATCTGGTTGAGCCCGCATACTGTTAATCTCTTACTTTCCTTCAAATTTCCTCCCTCTTTTTCCTTGATCCTAAACCAATCCTCCTCTCCCCCAAATTGCCACCAAAGTACTTCCAATCCTAATCCCTGCCCTCCCACTCAGCATAACAAGCAATAGCCCTCTACCTTATCTACAGACGTCAAGTCAAGAAGGGGATTCTACTCAGCACTCTCAACGCCATTGTTTGTTTCCTTTCTCAGCTCCATCCTTAGTGCGAGATCTCCTACATGTACAGTACGTATGTCTGTGAGCCTAACAAAGAGAAAATAGAAAAACACAGAGAAATTAGATAACTGGCCACATACACTACGCTACAAAGTAAATGATTCCTCCCTCACTCATATCGACAAGGTAGCTGCCGACGTCCTTGGTGACCATCATCAGGACGGGCACCTTTTGGAAGTTTCCATTAGTGAGGGCCACCAGTGGGTGCTTGTCAAGGAAGAGCGTCGTCTCGTGGCTGTACTGAGCTTTCTGCACGTACGGTGCCAGTCTGTGGTTCCCCACCAATGGATCACGAGCCTAAAACGGAAATAAGATAGTGAGTCCTGCATTTATTGACTAAAGTTAGGATTCTATTCACGCGGTAGCGGTAGCGCCAAAAATAGAGCACATTGAAGTGTACACGGTTGTTTCCATTGATACGGTTGTGTTAGCGTAAAGCTAGGATTACATTCACCTTTTGCAGTGCGTTTGTGTTTTCAATCGCTACAGGGAGCGATTGGCATGTACTGCAAACGCTAACGCAAACGTGCCAATGGAAACAACTGTGACATTTCAATGTGATCTATTTTTGGCGCTAACGCTGACGCAACCGTTAACGCGTGAATGGAATCCTAGCTTTATATGTTTGCAGTACATGCCATTTGCTCCCTGTGGCAATTGAAAACGCAACAAACTGGAAGCGGACGCAGAAATCCCACACTGTGACGTCACTATCCCCGTGTTTGCTCTCCTCACCCAGCAAAATGCCTCGAGGAAAAGTTTCTGTCTAGGAAACTGAGAAGTTGATTTCACTCAGAATATATCCCAACCTATTTTTGTAACGCATTTATATTAAACATTTAAAAACCTTTATAAATCATTTTACAAGATCCATACATTTTGACAAGGGCCAAGATTTATGGTGGTTAGCGTTTGCTGGCACAGCACTGAAGTGTAATAGCCCCTGTCTTATAGACAGAAGTATTTATATAAATGGGTTAATTACATTAAACTTATATACTCTATCACCCTCTGAAACTTTCCACTAGTTGTGAGGTAGCATGTTCAGAACACGTGTTAAGGTGTGCCCACGGGAAGCCGCGTCACTTAGTGCTGAGCTAAGGCATTAAGTGGCCGGCGCTTTGGCCACTTAATGCGGGCAGTAGTTTGATCTCCTTGACTAGAAGAAGACGTTATTGAGAGTCATCCACCCCGTCTTCCCTCGAGGAGGACGTCGGATATATTACCGTTCTCCCTCGACGGGTATTAGAGGCACTCTCACTCAGCCCCTCACACCAACAGGACGTATTTTAGAAGAGCTATTTAACACAGCCCCCGCACTCATTTAACACTCACAGCTACAGTGATTAAGTTACGGTGATATACACTTGGAACTGTATATAATATATTTTCTTAATAAATACAGAAAGGACAGTTGGGTTTCTCTACTAAAACCCTAAATACTTTACATGTCCTCGCCCATTAACCCCTCGAGAATCAACGGTTAAGGGCCGGTTCAAAAGATAACTGATTGATTGTGATAATTACATCCCTGGCGACGCAACAGCCTAAACTATGCCTAAATCAGGTTAAGTGACGTGAGGTTAGTAATGACGTAATTCATTTACTGTCTTCATTTTGATTATAAAATTCTACACGATATTCCTGACAAACCAGTTAGAATATTGAAAATAAAAAATAAATAGAATATTTGAAAAACGTGACACACACACACACACACACCCACATACACACACACACACACACACACACACACACACACACACACACACACACACACACACACACACACACACACACACACACACACACACACACACACACACACACACACACCCACACACACACACACACACACATGACAGTACCTCGATGATCATCTGTGTGGCATTAAGGAGCTCTTCTTGAGATAGCTCCTGCAAGCACTGCACCAGGAGCCTCTGATCGTGGGGCGGACACTTGACGTTGTTGGCCAGTATGAGCATGAAGGGATGGTTCCTCGTGTAGAGTGACCACGGCGACAATGGCGACCCAGACAACGACAACACGCGGTGGAACAGACCTGCAGTACAACCACGACATACCTGAACTTGTGATGTACTGTACCTTTTAGGGGCTTATTGAAAATTAATATCTAATATGCGAGTCTCTAATATACCGTACCCAGGTCCATAGCCACATGAGGTGAGGAGGGTGATGGGAAGTGAAGTAAAGGTGGTAGAATGCTCGTTTTCCTTCAAATGAGAAAATATCAATCTCCTAGGAAACAATTTTGAAGTTTTGTAAAACTATTTCAACTTTTAAAATACAAAATAAAGGACATTATTTATTTCAAGGATATCCAACTTGTGATATAGACCTAAGAGAGAAGAGATTCTACCTTGTGAGAGAGGAGAAATCATGTGATATATAGCAGAAGCTCCGCCACTACAGTCGCCCGCAAGCGTCACCTCGTTCGGGTTGCCACCAAAAGCCGCAACATTGTCTTGCACCCAGCGTAGTGCCTCCACCTGGTCCAGCATGCCCATGTTTCCCGGACTCTGCCCATGACTTGTCGCGAAGAATCCTGGAAACAAGTGTATTATTCACTAAAGGAGACTATACAAACCAAAGAACCACATGAAAAACCCCAATGAATTATGAAGAAAAAGGTTCGTGCTTCATTTTTTCCACAAGACCCCAAAAAATAATATCTAGCTAAGAGATAGTGCCTTAAGACCAAACAAAGAGCCCCCTCCCTCCCACCAACACCAGATGATAAATCAAGACTCCCAGCTCCACCGTTTGAGAAATTAGGGCTTCCAACTACACCAGGTGAGAAATGAGGACTTAAGTACACCAGGTGAGAAATGTCTCTCAACTACACCAGGTGAGAAATGATGAATCAATTACACCAGGTGAGAAATGATGAATCAAGTACACCAGGTGAGAAATGATGAATCAAGTACACCAGGTGAGAAATGATGACTCAAGTACACCAGGTGAGAAATGATGACTCCTAATTACACCTGATGAGAAACAATAACTTTCCAACACCATGTGTAACCTGGGAGGCTTAGCAAAACCATGTGATGGGTGTGAAGAAATGTGCATATTATGACCCGCCGGAGGGATGCCAGAGTTAGCACCAACAATTGAAAATTTCAGGCTGTAGTTACTGTAGTACCGTGGGAAGGATCTTGTTGGCGCCACAACCCACAAGGCAGTACCACTGACTTATTTATAACCACTGATAATAATAATAATAATAATCACTTATATGTTCACTCCATATTTTTTCTTTTTGCAGTGAAAGTTTTTGTTAATTCAAGTAACCTATTCCCCAGTGTCTACGTAATTTTTAGGTGACAATGAACGAAACAGGAACGCCCGAAAAATGTTAATGAGAATGGATGTCCCAAATCTTTTCTTAGCAGGAGAGAGGACTAATGAAAAGGAGTAGAAACAGTTAGAAATGAACTATAGGATGTACAGGTCGCTTATACCTCACTCTGGTAAAGAACCAGCCCATCACATGTGGGAGCTTTATTCCCATCCCAGATAATTGAAAGTGGTTTGTTCGAGCACTAGACAGAGCTGTGTGTACCTTGTAGGGGAGGCTTGTCATATGAACATGCCGTATCTTCAGACGTATGCTAAACTTATTATCTAGACAATATGTGCTCATTATACAAAATATCTCTTTCGTATCTCATGATTTATCTGGTCGTATCTAAGCTGTGTTTCTCGTCAGACCTTTACAGTTGAAATTATCGTATATAACATTTAATTTAATTTAGCTAACTTATTTTGTTCTACCCAAGACACTATACCTGTATATTACTGTCGTGCTTAGTAAACTCCTACTGTACACAACAATATCCAAATAATCTTACCTAGAAGGCCAAGACGGTACTGTGGGATGACGAGGACGATGTCTCGGTCCATCAAGAGGGACTCGTCCAGGGCAGCAGTCTCGCCCACCACGAAGTTACCGCCATGGATCCACACCACCACCGGCAGACTAACGTTTTCCCCAGGAACCGGCACCTACCGCAAAACACTCACTCACTCTATTGAAAATTTTTTAGCTCGGATTTTTAAAGATTCTTACCGTATATTGTTTCTCTCAATTTATTAAAAAATTCTGGGTCAGGATCTAATTCAATCAATGAGTAAACTTTCCTGGTGGGCAACTTGTGGTATACAGTATAATCTCTGGGTGAATGAGGTCAAGGCGGCGGGACAGTGGGCACTTTCCTCCAAACATGTTTGGCAAACACGGTCCGGCCAGTAAAACAAAGAGACGTTTTGAGTCACACTGGGATGTTTTGTTGACCCATCTGCCCAACGCAACGATAACAACAACAAAGCTTGTAGACGAGGTTCACCATGGATCCCGTTACTACAGGTGAGGCCTTGCAGGGTTGTGCTATAGTTCTTCCAAGTGAGGAGTCTGTGAAAGCTAAAGAAAAGACAATGGGTGCGTCGTGAAGTTTATTTACAAGCGGCGGGCGGCGGCTGGCTGGTAAAAGAAGACTGAATAATGATTTAATAATACTAAGGAAGTTTTAAAGTGACGAATAAATAAAAATACGTCACCATTTATGTGCGTCATACTCGATTCCGAGTGCCAGCAAAGTAGTAGTATATTTTAAATTATTATTGTTTCGTGATTTATTAAAAATTTTAATTGAAATTATATGAAGCACATTTGAGCACTAATCCGGCCATCAAAGATCCCCGCCAAACCGTGCGCCACATCTCCCGACAGAAGAAATCCTGCTGCTTGCTAGGTCGGCAGGCCAACGACCAGCAAAACGGGCAACATGTTTGGAGGAAAATGCCCAGTGTGCCACCGCCTTAGCAAAACTAGACTTGACCAACACTGGAGCAGGTTCAGGTACATTCAGGAGCCGGTGCATGCCCAGTACTTGCCAACAGTGTGTAACAGAGACGTGACCGATCGCCCGAGCGGCTAACGAGCAGATCATTTGGTGAAGAGGATAAAAGAAAAGAATAACTACATCATCGTTTGTTTACCACAATGCAGAGGTGAGTGTAAATTTGTATGAGAGTGATGTCAGAGGGGCAATTTAAATTGTTTTATGAACGACGACAACGAGATTCATGAGCTAAAATGATAACTTAAATGTAGAGAGTTTTGCAAGGAAATTCGAGTTGAACCATAGTTAGCCGATCCAAAATGTCAACACACCCATTATGCCATTGATGACAGGTAGCAGTGGAGTGCAGTATTGTACAGTACCCCCGGCTATAGTAATATATGGTATAGCTTAATATTGTCAGTTCGTGGACCCATTTCATCATTTACCTATGCTTGATAAGCTTTTTATTTAAAATTTGCAGACCGGGAAAATATTTTTTTTTGTGAAGTTATGCCATGGTGGTTTTATTTACAAGTAAAGCAAGAATTTATAGTCGTAGGATTGTAAAGTGAAGAAAGTTTGGTAGCGTGGCCGATTAGATATTTAACCGTCAATATATATTCTTAGAGGAAATTTTCTAAGCACCAATTCTAAGTAAAGCTATGTACCCACATATAACGACTTAATGACATATATGCTTGTTAGTGTTACCTTTGGCGTGTACACGTATAAGTTGAGACAATCCTCGATGCCAGCAACAATTCCGATGGCGGCCTGGGCACACGGCTCCCCAGGCTGTGTGGCGTCTAACACTCCAGACCACTCGGCACCAGGCAATGTAGGCTGATCACGGAGAAATATATATAGCGATCATCATAATAATAATAATAATAATTTGTTCATAATTACCTTAATATACTGGAAAAAACAAACAGGTTCATAACAAAATTATAATGGACGGATAATACAGATAACAGGGCAGTGTATTGGGCCCGTTGTCATTTGTTTGTTTCATAAATAACATGCCAGAAGTTGTACACTCCTCCATACAAGTGTTTGGAGACAATGCCAAGTTTTAAAGGGAAAATTAAGAACCAAACAGACTGTGAAGAGCGACAGGAAGATCTCTATCAGCTTCAAGAGTGGTCGAACAAAGGGTTGTTAAGATTTAATGTTACGAAGTGTAAGAGGATGCACCTTGGTCGTACCAATGGTAAGGAGGCGTACCAAATGTCCGAGCGGGACGAAGAAACAGTTGCTGTTTAACAGCATTAATAGAGACCGAATGTAAAAAGGATCTGGGTGTGTTTGTTGACAACGAAATGGAATTCTCGGGCTATTGTGAGAAGAAGGTGAATCAAGCGACTAAACTAGTAGGTCTTATAAGAAGGTCGTTCAGTTATCTAGACCCGTCTGGTCCCCGAGATATGCGAGACACTGTCAGTTCATTAAAAATGTCCAAAGGAGGGCCACCAGACTGATACCTGCACTACAGCAACCCAGTTACCCAGAAAGATTAGAGCTCCTACAACTGCCTAGTTTATACTATTGACGGGTAAGGAGTGACTTAATTGCAGTTTATAAACATCTCAGAGGGCACTTCTCGGTCGAGTGTCCATACCTGGAGCTGGCAGACGCCTGCCCCACTAGGGGTCACAGCTCAAGGTTGAAGAAGCCACAAATCCAGAAAATTGTGAGAGCAAACTTTTTCGAAGTGAGAATTGTAAGCTCTTGGAACAATCTGCCAGAGAGTGCTGTGAGCTCTTTCAAGATCAGACTTGACGAACACTGGGGCAGGTACAGATACATTCTGGAGCCAGTACACGTTCAGTTCTTGCCAATAGAGCGTAACAGAGACGTGACCGACCACCCAAGCCGATCAGTGGTGAAGAGGATCAAAGTAAGTAAAACTAACTGGTTAACGGTATTTCGCAGTTTTTAATATAATTATTTATCTAACATAAACCACCACTAAATTAATTTATTGGTCCTACGCTACAAGAATAAGGCTCTAAAACACTTACCATGAACCTGTTATTGCCAATGGGTGGCTGGGCATACGGAATGGCATGGAAGGCGTGGTAATCCCGACCATTCCGGCTGTGTTTGATGGCCCCTTTTACCACGCCTCCGCTCACCGCCACCTCCACTCCATCACCAACATCTACTACGTCCATCGCCACAATTGTCAACGCCACCATCCACACCCAGCCTAGCGTCGCCATGGTATTTTTAGATCGGAGGTGGTGTGTTCCTTTAATGCAATGGTTCACAATTATTAAGTTTCTATAGAAAACATGAGTCTCCAAACAGCCCTTGATAATGCATGCTACATGATTTCAAACACGATTGCTTTTTGTTTTCTTTTCCCGTTGAAGGAATCATAAAAAATCAACGATAATACCACCCACTTACACCACTACGTAAGATACCAGCCAACAGTTCGTACAGATAGTCATAGATACGAGTCATAGTTAGAGGCTGGGTGACATTATTTAGTAAGACTGAAACAAGATCACACTGGCACGAGACTGTTCTTGGAGGCCTGTGTTACCAGATCTAACATTCTCTCATTTTATGTACTCCAAATCATTTAAGAACAAATTTGATAATACACATTCCTAGGTATTGGATAAATTGTAGACTAGTTTATATAGAAAACATCTTTGTAGACTGCACGCTCTTATTAGCTATGCTTTCGTATAAGCTAGTTACAGTATAACTTAAAGTCATGTTTTCACTGAACAGTAAATCAACCATTGGACCACTAACCTGAGTGTGTCTACGTGTATGGAGCAGCAGGTGTGTAAGGAGCTGTGACAGTCTAGTGAGAACAATGAGTGCCACGTGTGCAGGTGCCTGGCACAACAGTACTTCACACGTCACTTTCAGCTCCCTGAGAGGAGTGGGAATAGGACAGGAGGGGGTGAACAACTTATCATCGTTATCTGTAATAATATGTTATTCAGGTTTACTACGGATGAAGTCTTTGTGTCCAGCTCTTTACCAGTTTTTATAACAGTAATCGGAATCAAAGAGAAAGTGCTTGTGGTTCTACTAATTATATAAACACCGTGAACGCTCAAGACATATTGATATGTCCAGTTCTTGTCCTAGCATCTCTCGAAGGTTATTACGCTTGGATACCTGACCACCTGCTCTGGTAAGCTTTTTTATACGCTCACAGCGTCGTGAGTGATTAAAATTCTGTATGTTCCGTCTCAGCTTGATTAGTAAATGTATCATTATGAGTTAGAAATTAACCTAACCAAATTTTACCCAGTCTAGCCATACCTGTTAGATAGGGTGGAATCAAAGGCATTTCGTCTTATTAACTCTCCTTCTTTACTTGATAATAATCCTCTCTTCCCTTTCTCTTCGCCTCAATGTTGCTTCACTCTCTATTTTACAGGTACTTTAACGGGCAATGTTCAGTGGATTTGGCATCCTGTGTACCTCAGGCAAGGCCGTGGACTCGCAACACTCGTCTTACCCACGGTGCCCACCGTTTCTGTGTGGATGTCAGTCACTAGAATAACCCGTTATAGTACATCCTTCTTTCCTCACACAGCCAAACTGTCTCACTTAAAAAAGCTGGTTGTCCGGTATCTTTGTGGTGTAGCTTACTAGTCTTTTTCTCTTCTATTTTTAATTTCTTTCTACGCTTATTTTTTCTGCCTATAGGCCCCGTTGTGGGTCGATGACCTGTGCCCGGGTGGGCTATTCCCCGTAAAAAAAAATGTAATGTTACGACCCTCCTTTCGCCGCTTACCCAGCTTCCACCGCTGGTTACCAACGGCCAAGTTGTATATACAGAAGCAGTAGATATCTCACAAGTGTCGTCGAATTACCACAAGCTGTCCCGCCAATCCCCCGACGATTGGTATCAGTGTACAGACAAATAACAAGCAAGTAGATTTCCACCAGGTCACAGAAACACACTTGTGAACCGTACTTTTCTTTAATTATCACTTATTCTTCACAGGGTAATATCTCCACAGCCGAACTTCTCACTTCGAATATATTGTCAGCACAACAATTCCACAATACTTACTTGCACAACAATTATCTTCAGTTGTCCTATTAAGCATGTACTTCACACTTTTCAGAATCTAGGCAGCTCACTGAGGATTAATCTGATAAATCTACTATGAGTAGATAATTGTGAATTTCGGAAGTAATGTACTGCCTGACTTTCTCTTCACATGTGAGAATACGTCAGCTGAAAGAGTGGTCAACAGGCGAGGCTGTATTTCAATCCCACGATATGAGTACGTGGAGATAATGATTATGGTGGTATGGAGATAATGGTTATGGTAATATGGAGGCAATGGTTATGGTGGTATGGAAGTGATGGTTATGGTAGTATGGAGGTAATGATTATGGTGGTAATGGTTATGGTATGGAGGTAATGGTTATGGTAGTATGGAGGTAATGGTTATGGTAATATGGAGGCAATGGTTGTGGTGGTATGGAAGTGATGGTTATGGCGATACGGAGGTAATGGCTATGGTAGTATGGATAATGGCTATGGTAGTATGAAGATAATGGTTATGGTAGTATGGAGGTAATGGTTATGGTATTATGGAGGTAATGGTTATGGTAGTATAGAGATAATGGTTATGGTAGTATGGAGGTAATGGTTATGGTAGTATGGAGGTAATGGTTATGGTATTATGGAGGTAATGGTTATGGTAGTATAGAGATAATGGTTATGGTAGTATGGAGGTAATGGTTATGGTGGTTAGTATGGATGGGTAATGGGTAATGGTTATGGTAGTAGCATGAGGTACTATTATGGTATGGCTGGGGATAATGGTTATGGTAGTATGGAGGTAATGGTTATGGTAGTATGGGGTAATGGTATTATAGTATGGAGGTATGGTTATGGTTATGGAGGTAATGGTTATGGTAGTATGGTAATGGGGTAAATGGTAGTATGGAGGTATGGTATGGTGGTATGGGTAATGGTTATGGTGGTATGGACGTAATGGATGGTGGTATGGAGGTATGGTATGGTGGTATGGGTAATGGTTATGGTAGTATGGAGGTAATGGTTATGGTAGTATGGAGGTAATGGTTATGGTGGTATGGAGGTAATGGTTATGGTAGTATGGAGGTAATGGTTATGGTAGTATGGAGGTAATGGTTATGGTAGTATGGAGGTAATGGTTATGGTAGTATGGAGGTAATGGTTATGGTAGTATGGAGGTAATGGTTATGGTGGTATGGGGGTAATGGTTATGGTAGTATGGAGGTAATGGTTATGGTAGTCTGGAGGTAATGGTTATGGTGGTATGGAGATAATGGTTATGGTAGTATGGAGGTAATGGTTATGGTGGTATGGAGGTAATGGTTATGGTAGTATGGAGGGTTCTTGAGACACATGGGAGCCTTTGGGTAAATAATATGGAAAGGGAAATGTTAAATGTATCGCATGCAAGTAATAAACGCAGACCCTGGGATAATGATGGATGGTTTAAAAAAGGTAGACAAACACATGCATACTGTACCAAGGGAAATTAACACTATACCAATGTGGAGTAGAAATTTTTATTATCTTTACTTCACACAATTTATTCATTACAATGCTTTAGAACAGAACCTTGGGTGGGGCCAGACAAGCTTTTGATGATGTATGAAGAAGAAAATGGAGGAAAACTGCAGTATCAAGATAAAATAAACCAAAGTTAAGAGTACCCTAAAGATCCTAAATGATAGGTCACACTACACTAATGTTGCCCCCTAACAATGCACTTGCTGAATAGCGATGAAAGTTAATAAAATGCTCGCCGACTTGAGGCAAACAACAAGCCCTGTGGATGGATGGGTCCAGAAGTGATGGGGGATGGAAGTTACTTACTTAAACAATTATACATAATTATAATAATAAAAAAGCCCTGAAAAATGGTAAATCCACCGATGATTATAACAATACATATCTTAACTAAATGTGTGTACCTTAAAGGAATATGCTTTTGAATTTCACATTACAGTACTGTACTTACTATACTGTATACTAAAAATGAAAAGGTTTCATTATATAACATTTTCATAATATAATTATGTAGGATAGGTGAAGGTTTCTAAAAATGACAATATATATATGACCTTTGTAAACATGAAAACAACAAGACTCATGCGGAAAGCAATATGTGACAATAAATTGCGGTAGCTTGTAAACACAAAGCAGTCATATGGACTCCGAGCCACTGATTGCATGCTCTCCGCTTACTGCATCTGTTGCTTTAATTTATTTCTCAAAATAGGTCTGTAGGAATAATTATGGACGAGGTATGAAGAGGTGAATGGACACAGTAAACCCTCGTGTGTACATCAAAGCAGTGTATTTCCTAATATGGCTCTGTAACAGGGTCATATACATGCATGCACCATGCTGCTAAACTTGCCCTAGCCCTTTTTGGATATTCAACTACTAATCAAGAAACTGCATGAATCTTTATATCAGCCATAATGAAAACCCGAGCCAATAGCTAAATTTTACCAATCTTCTATGGCAGACAGGTAAATTAAGGCTACAAGTACACTGACCCTTGATGTCCAGTGATAAATGGCGTTATACAACAGCTACAATTACGAATGAAGCAGTAGCTGCTGAAACTAATGATTCACATTAAAGTATCAATCAAATCTTTAACCTTAAAAAATCAAAGAATTGACGATATTAACTGATATGGCCATGTCTTTGTTACAACAGTGTGATATCCATTAACAATGAGCATTTACTAACCTAAGTGATCCAATTTCACATTCTATTAAGCATTTCTCAGGCTCCCATGCTACAGTAAGCATGATATGATCAGGTTTATGTACCCTTTTAAATCTGATGAAATATTTTAATCCCAAGGCCTCTCAAACATTTCAATTTGTTTTAGCCTTGATGCCAATTCTTCAGTGAGATCCACTGGTGCAGATAACCCACAGTGCAGCATCCCTCCCACGAGAGCAGAATAATGGTGGTGGTTGTAGTGTAAGAGGTTAGTAAGGTACAGTGGCCAGCTAATAGTTGGTGCCCTCTGGTGGCTGTGTTAGCTTCATATTCTCCTTCTGGGTCATAAGGCGCCTCAGCTCTTGTAACACTGTCTTAATTGTGTAATTTCTTTGCCAACGTCCCAGTACAGACACATGTCGACGATCCACCTGCAAATAATTACAAAACTGGCGTGTAAGGAGAAAAATCATTTATTTTATTTCATAATGATCTAAGCCTCTAAGTGATGTCCTTTGTCAACATAACAAGAAAAAGCACAATCAATTTCAATAAATGTAAAATGTTTACATGAGGTCTAGTGAAAACAAGTTTGATAAAATTGTGCTTCCTAACCATTCCAACCCTTCCTCAAAATTTTTTTCCTGGCAACTAACTGGTACTAAAGTGCTTGATCTGATTTCCTTAGGTTCATTTTTCATATCCTTCAAACCACTCTTGGATATATAAAAACACGGTAAAAAATATTATAACACCTTCAAACAACTTATAACTACTGTACAAGTTAAGAGATACTTACAACCCCAGTTTGGCTGTTAACTCCCTGCATGTTAATTCGACTGATAAAGCGAATGTTAGGTGGATCATCTGGATATTTTGAACCACATTCTACCTTTAAGGAGTACATCCGATTCTCAAAATTTGTCTGGAAAAGATGCATAAAATGTAGTACAACATAGGTAAGGCACACAATAATATTCTTTAGTTGATCACAAAATAGCTACAAAGAGAGAAAATGCATTTTAACATTACTGTGTATAGTAAAACTGCCATAATTCATACTCCACAATCACTTATAATTCATGATGTTCTGCTGTTACACAAATAAAATATAATGGGAAAATCCTCTCATATATAATGAGAAACAAGACAACAAAAATGCATTAAAATGTGAGTCTACCCTAAAGTCAATTCAGTGCTTTGTTATAACTTTAATAACATAGAACGGAGTTAACTTGAGGGTAGACTCACATTTTTAATAAATTTTTGTTGTCTTGTTTCTCATTATATATGAGAGGATTTTCCCATTACAGTATTATTTATTTGTATGTGTGTGTCTACACACACATGCAATACAGATAAAAGAAATTACTGTCTCTTAGAACAAATGGCTCCCTATCCCAGCCGCGAAAATGCCAGCAACTTTAAAACTACCCTTAGACATTCTTGGGTACATCCAGGATGTCATCCGCAAATAATCGAGGTCCACAAATTGTCAGGGCATGCTGCACAGTATACTGTATATACCTGTATTATGATTATTTTTATTTTTTGTAATACTACAGTAAAACCTCCCAAAATTCTAAATAATAGGGGCTCTAGCCCTTATGAATTATGAGGTTTTACCAAATATGAGGAACATCCCGAAAAAAGGTACTTTTCCATTATATGCTCCAATTAAAATTTAAACGTTTTTAAGTACAGTACAGTAATATCTCCGTTTGCCAGAATACCTCTTAACCGGAACTCTCCGATAGCAGAAATTGTAATTGGCTCAGAATTTTTTGGGAAAATTTGGGATTAAGGAACGATTTTCCAAGGGGCGCTCACTGTGTTGTAATTTGTTGTAGTGTTTGTGCGATGTGAGCACCATGGTGTGACCAAGGTTTGGCAGCCAACTAATGCACCACCCTCGTCATCGCCACCTCCTGCCCCCCACCCACCTCGCGCAGTCTGCCACTACAACAAAATTCAGCTCATAAGAGCCCGCACCGATAGATATAAGAGTAGCACCATCCCATCTATTGTTAAAATAATAAACAACTCCTGATTTATGTACTGTGCAGCCCTGTAAATGTATTCAATGCATATTATATCATTGTCTAAATCAAATGTAAGTCTGTATATTTTCAACCACCGGCTGCAACTCTATTAATAAACCGTTTATTATTAAGTGAAAACTGTTAATAGCCACTGACGGGTCACGTGATAAATCATGTGGTACCTGATAGCTCTCAGGATCATGTCAGGTCTTTCTGCAACATTAGGCTACATATACACAAAATATTAGGTTCCTAACTGATACAATTTTTAGTGTATGGGAATTATTTAGGACTACTGGAAAATCGTCCTGTATTAATAGCCTGAGGTGCCATCAACATATACTGCAAGTTACCTTTCCCTTGGCAAAGTTAATGTCAGATATTTTACACAACTTCTATTAACGGTCCATATGGAGAGAAAAGTCCATTATATCGAGAGGTCCGTTAAATGTGAAATCTCCATCTAATGTAGTACTGTACTACTGTATACAGTATAGAAATGAAGGGCAGTTAAATATGAAACCCCAATCTAATGGATTGTAAGGAGATAGAAGTGTATTATATGGAGGATTCAAAGACACAAGTACCTTCCCAGTTTTGTCTGAAGAATATCTAAACCTGATGGAATATGAGAGCCTAATCTTGACTACATCTGGTTAGTTGTTATGCATGACTAGATTGAAGCTCTGAGTTGTTCACCAAATGGTTTGAAAAATATAAGGTTACCTTACTATTCCAGATGATGAAAACTGACATATCTCCTGAAAAATGAATGCACATCGATGAAACACTGAAAGTGAATATGTAAATCAATTGTGTCAACTTATGAGCCATCCAAATGTAGATATAGAATATTGTATTAATAACAACTTAAGCATTTGCCCCTCAATGTTATCAGTCTATGAAACATGAACCATTGCCGGTACAGTATTGAGTCGTATTGTTGTGTGTATCAAAACTGACACAGGTAATTTTATATGAGAACCACAGCTGAGCAAACCTAACATGTATGATTTATTTCACTGCAATTATTCCCAGTGAAAGCACCACACCTATTATGGAAAGAGAAACCCAGAGACACAAAACCACAAGAAGCTATGATTTTGTTGTACTGTATAGGAGTGGTGTGCATTTAGTGGAGATAGCAGTAATACACACACAGTAAGCAAAAAAACCGTTAACACATGGATCAAGCAGTGCGTAGACCCCACCCTCAGTCAATAACAATGTATTAAGGCCAAAGAATTATGGAAGGCATATGAGCTAGGCCTACACCAAGTGGACATAACATCAAGGAAGAGTTGCAACTGCAGTGTAAAGCATGAACGACTGTGGGGGGAATGAATTCAGCAGCTGTTCACTAGGCATTAACACAATACAGTACTACAAGGAGCAAACTGTGGAGTTTAAGAGACGGTATGCCGACAACTTTATCAACACGTCATATTTTGTGATAAGAAATTGTTTTAAAAAGATAAATGTGTACAGGGGGTCCCCGGGTTACAGACAGGTTTTGTTCCTGGGGATGTTCGTAAGTCGGAACACATGCTATATGCATAGTGTACTTACAAAACAATGTTTAAAATCCCACTATATCATAGCCTAAGACCTTATATAGTACTGTACATCTAAAATCACTTAATTTAAGACAAAAGAAGAAATAGAATGACAACATAGTTAATAAAAATAAAAATTACTGTAAGTCAACAGGTAAATAAAATGCTGGAAATTTCAAGTTTAACCTCGTTTATATCGGCGTTCGTTCGTAAGTAGGACGTTCATATGTCGGGGACCTTCTGTACTGTATACTCATTTCCAAGGCTCAGCAGTCCTGCCAGCTGTTCACTAGTTTCAAGTATACTATATGCAGTGAATGGCTCAACTATTCTACAATGTATTCACTAAGACTGGAAGATAGTTGTGTCTTTGTACAGTACATTACTTAGGAGGCCAGTTATCTTAGTCATACAAAATAATAACTTGATCTTACTATAAAATACTTTGTGATACAGTGTAATTGTTTCAACTACAGTGTGAGTGTGTGTGTGTGTGCAGATAACTCACCCTGGGGGGTCCGATGATCATGCCTGTCCAATTGGTAAGGGTCATGTCAGAGTCATCTTCTAATCCCCAGGAGATGGTGCCATCTCCTACACCTTTCTGACCAGCCTCTAATTCTTCTAGCAGGCGGAAGTTACGCGGGACCACTGAAAATAATAAAAATTTACTTGAATTCAAATATTGTATATATAGAGAGGAGCATCATTACTTCAACATCATGTTTCTCTGTCCAGTATAAAGTCCCCCAAATATAGATGGTACATTGCCCCAGGCTATGCAGCTTACACGGAACACTTACTTGTCCCGGAGAAGTGACTTATGAAATTTACTCTCCCCGACAAATTTGGCAATGCAGTTGGGATGCTGTCAGAGCAAACACGCTCCACGATACCCATCCAGCATTGGATGCCCGGAGAGACTGCTTTGGCCACATATGGCTGACTCATGTTTTTTTTTAATGGAGAGGGAGCCTCCTCCCCATTTTGAACGACTGCTTGGTCCCATTGAATGTTCAAAACCTCCTGGTAGAGTACTCCAGTCTCAGGGGGGGGTAGAGTGGGAGTCCTTTGTGGAGGAAGCTGGCCTTCAAAACCTTCGAGTTTTTATGTATTAACGTTTAAATGGTTTTACAAAAGTTCTATGCTATTATAATTTATGTTTCTTACCTTGCATTATTTCATTTTAGTCTTCTAAGCTTTATTTTAATTCGGCACCATATGACCTAAGACGCTGTGTTGCCAGCGATGTAATTATCACAATCAATTCCTAGTCAGGGGGCAGACTCCCTCGCCATGTTAAACAAAAAGCACTATTTTTACATCTGGTACCACTGAAAGCAACTTTGTTGAATCATCATGGTGTAATTGATTTTTTTTTTTGTGTGTGTGTGGCTGTGAGAGTTCGCTGGGACCAAGCAAGTCGGTTGTAAACAAACAGATGACAGGTGGTGACTTGGCATTTTTTTCATAGCAGTATTTACGGTACAAAACAAGTGATTTATGATCGTAGATAAAGAAAAAAATATTTAAATTAAAAAGTTGTTGCCTCTTTTAAAACACTTACTATAACGCGAAGAACATCTGTGGAAGAAATGAACAAAACCGGTATTATTTTACTTTAGGACATAGCGCGCCCAAAAGTTATAAACGATTGAAACATTTAGATCTCCCTATTCTGAGCATTTTGAACCCCATATATACCAGGCGGAAATGTATAATAGCGACAATTTAATTTAATTGATTTTACGTAGTGTTCCGTCTTCGTCTGTGAGCATGCGCAATATTGACCGATATCATTCAGTCGTGACCAATGATGTATCAATATCATGCAAATTATTTTCCGACCAATCACATTTGATTTTTTTCAAAGGAAGCATTCTGGGTACGATTTTAATTTCATTGACCAGTCTCACAATGGCCGTGGTGGAGGTTGGTTGTTATTTGTGCTCCTACGATTAATTTGTTTATTGCCGAATTTTACGAGAAAGATGATCATTCTATCCAATTCTTACACATCCCTGGTCCTTCCACTTCTAACTAAGGCATTGTACTTTTGGACACGGAGCGCTCCAAAGTTCCAAACTACTGAAACATATAGGTCAGTTTAAGCTAGGCCTACCGGGGGTCTATGGGCGGGGCCTCATGCTAGGGGTTAGGTTAGGTTAGATGATTCGTTTTCGCCCCCACCCAAAAAACCCAATTTCCCAGGCTCTCCCCCATTATTGTTGGGGGGGGGACGAGCAATTTCTGCCAAAAAATGAAGGTCACATTTATTTAAAACACACCAAAATACTGTGCACTGGAAAAACATATTGGTCAACCCCAAGGGACTCTTGTCATAAAGTAAAAATTTACCACAAAACCAAACTACTCCTCCTTGTGGTAGCACTGTCCTCAGAAATTACATATATTTTTTCTTCTTTACTCTAACACTAGAATTCCATCCATGAAAACCTGAGAAATATTAATCAATAAAGTGTTCAAGATGGAACAAAACACTCTTCTTCAGAATATGTTTAGTCATCCTTCTCTAACCTCAGTAAATGTAGGTTAGGATGACTGGCTCGACCATGACACTGACATACCTTTAAGCTTATGTGTGTATAATTATGTAGTCTAAGATGTCATTATCCTGCTCCTGTTAATGACTTGTCAAAGGCTGTCACTAAGTAAAGAGATTTAGATATTTAGGAAATGACAAAATTACACACGAGAATGACTATTACGATAACTACATTAACTATGAGGTACTATTGTAGGGGTTGAAGCAGTTGTTAGTAGTACGTTAATTAATAAATTCCTTAAAACAAATTCCCAACTAACCAAATGAACAACACTATAACCTTCTTACCATGAATAACTACTACCATAAAAGCTATACCCAGTTAACAAGCAATAATACATTAAAATAAAACTCTAATCACCATAGGATATAATACAAGAGATATATATTTAACACAACTACATAACTACACCATCACATGAATAATTTATCCTCCTCTAATCATTCCTCACATATAGGTAATACATTAATTAATAGTTTCTTATATTATACTTAAGTCTATATACAATTAGAGAGAATAATAAGACCAGACCACCACTAACCTGTATTGGGCGCCGCCATTTTCACTGAACAGCCGCCCACGTCTCTCCTCCTCGAACACTATGAGTCTTTTATAGTCTCCCCCTTGACTGGAGGAATAAGTTAGAGCCCACAAGGGAGGATTAACACCACAAATAAGACTGTAATATGTGACTCATCCACCACCGGTATGTCTCTCTCTAATGGCTATAGTGTTCCAATAATCCTCTATAGTGTTTATCCCTATAATAATTATTTTATATTCTATTATCTATATTAAAATTATATATATATTTAACTAATAAAATCGCTTAATGGGTCTATATTTTTATTAATAATTACTGATGAAATATCTAATTGATGTTTCTTCTATTAATAATTATTAAGTTTCGTTTATTATTTTTTCTCCATAAGAATCTAAAGAAAATAATTAGTGTTTATTTATTTCATTTATATAATTATTAAATTCATTAATGTAATATAATGTAATTTTTAGTTAAGAGTTATATATACACGTGTCTTCTGGTAACACGTGAGGTGAGGATGAATTAACCTCTATATCTCCTTTATTATATCTTCTTCATTTAATACAAACCAATATTATAACTTTAATAGACCTCTTCTTTGATAATATTTGAAAGAAATTTTGATTATAAATTAGATATAGGAGTAATAGGTACAGGAAGATAGATGGTGGTTGAGAAATGGATCTTTATACTGTATTCTATTTTACCTTTTACTCCTAAGTCATCAGGTGTGTTAATTAGATCAATATGTAGTTAATGAAGGAGTTGTGGCTCTGATCTAGTAATATTAATGTTTCTGAATTACCTGGGAATTAATGATGCTTGTATTGGTGTGGCTTAATATTGTACTATACTATTATGGGTACAAGTAAATTAAGCCCTTAGTGACTTCTATCTTACTTAATATTGGAAGAACAAATAATTATAATGTATACAGCCTTAATAACATCAACCTTGTGAAAGAGACCTTTGGGGTACTTGTAAGCCCGGACCTTCGGCCTAGGAATGGGTCCGGCTAATTACCCAAATGTAGCCGCAATGAAGTCAAATAATGGTCCTAGATGAATAAATTGGACTGCTAATCACCTCTTGACTAGTATTTGGTAAATTTAATTTAATCTGAGTTAATAGATCAAGTGCATGTACCTAACCTAACCTAATCTAACCTAACCTAACACAACACAACTCATTAAATTAAGTTTTCCAATTTTTTGTGACTTTCTGACACCAAATACTAGTCGAGAAGTGATTAGCAGTCCGATTTATTCATCTAGGACCATTATTTGACTTCATTCCGGCTATATTTGGCTACACTTGGGTAATTAGTCGAGCCGAGTTACAGTGGTGATCTCAGCCCGTTTCGGTATTAACTCTCAGGTTTTTTGAGGCACTTTTTATTAACTATTTTAAGCACATGGATTTAAAATCATTTACATATACAGTTTACTCTTATGGGTCATACAGTCTGGATATTGCCGAGAAGTTGCAGGGCGCTCTGACCACCATTCTCATAATCTTCCCATACAGAGAAGACCCTTGCTTGTACTGTAGTTTGTAGGTTCGGGGTTGGTACCGCTTCAGTTTTCCCTCAGACACGAGATGAATCTGAGTAGTTACTAAAGTTGCTTCATCATGTAGGAGCTGAATCATCATGTAAAGGGACATCTGTGCCTTCCCTTTCATCTTCAGATGGTTATGCCACCCCTTAATGTTGTTGTTAGTTCTCACACTTAGCTTATATATGCTCCAGGACTCAAGTGGCCAGATAGAACTGTTAATCCATGTTTTCTTGGTGTACTCCGCAAATTTGAGAAGTGGTCCTGAGGGTACATGTGCCATTAATCCCTCGAATATTCCCAGAATATGTTGTTCCGGAATAAAACAAAGCGTTATGAACTTCCACAGCAGCTTGTGAGTTCCCTCATCTGATGAGTAAGAAGTTTGCAATCCAAGTTCTTGTATTTTCCGGAAGAGTGCTTGAGTAAAATAGAATGCACGCCCTTTTATTTCAACTGTCGAAAGAACAGAACTTGTAGCACGCCACAGAGCTTTCTCAAAGTCCATCACAATTCTCTCCACACGTGGTTCACTGGGAAGCATATCAATGATGGCTTTAATCGCAGAAACAGTCTTTTTTCCGGCGACGAGACATAATACACTGTATGACTGGGAGCTGTTTTGTTGCACCTTCATAGCGTACAAACACATGGATACTGAATAACTGATAGAAAGGTTTTCTAACTACGTGGAACGTGGCATCAGCATACCATGTCTGCACTGGAGAGCAGTTGAAGTTGGTCATCTGTTACGAAAATCAAGTGGCGTGCGTCATCAACCTGAATGTCACCATGCAAGAAATTTTTGGTAATTTGTTGCGACTCCACTTTAAAGTCCAGATTGTTTGGGACGTTTTGGACGGTGCTTATGGCGGTAATGGTTTACATTGTGAGCAACAAATTCAACTGATTTAATTGCACTACACTGTATATATATTGTACAGTAGTAGACACTAAAAAAAAAAAATTCAAGTTGCATAGTCATTTAGGTATCTAGGAGGGTTTCTCTGCCGTTCTGGATATCTCCCGGATAGACAACTGCCTAAATGTCTAGCAAGCTGATACGTGGAAAAATTATAAATATTCTGTATGCAGTATATAAAAATATTTATTTACGTACACTCGTACAGTACTGTATACAGTACAGAACATATTTTGTCTTATTACACACTTGGAATAACTTGCCTTGTAAAGCTTTCAGAATGGTTAGAAATACAATTTGAGAGGGATTATAGCTTCAGGAATTATGTTTCATTTCAGAACAGTTGAATAGAATGGGTTGGAGAATCTTTATAGTGTAATGTACTTCAGCATAAAAGAAATAGCAAAATAGAGGTGAGGTACAGTACAGTGTTCCATTTTTGCATTCCTGGAAATCATAAATGAATTTATTAATTCAGTATTAAAAGAGGATGTAGTTGAGTAGAGAGTTACTTAGTTTCTTCTCATGTAATAGGGGATGGAATATTCATAGTGGATAGAAAAATAGATTTTTTTAATGAAATACTGTAGTAATATTAGGTAAGGCAAGCATGAGTCTCATGGATTATCAGAAGGAATTTGCACTAGATGGGTTGTGTGTCATCTGATCCTCCCCAATCATTATTGACTTTTAATCTAGATTGTTACAGTATTTGTAGTTAAGATCTTTTCTTTCCTTTACAGGCTCTTGCCACTAACATTTGATGGTTCACCGTCTACAATGGTGGCTACAACCTTCTCTTCTGGTAGTACCAAAGCATACTGAGTGGCCTGTGCTGAAAGAAATCAAGTCATGGTCAAGAAATATTAAAAAACAAAAGAACTTATCAGATTTAAGTTTGAGTCAAGCACATACACCACATGCTGAAATCTGTTGTTTTTCTTCTCGGTAAGTGTTGTATTGATCAAATATACTGTACGTAATTACAGTATTAAAATTGTATTGCAGTGTCCTTTACCATGCTTTTAAGGCTCTATTAAAGGGTATAGCTGTACTAAATAACCTTAATCTTTTCATTTTTTACAATATGTTTGGTATCTACAAGAGTAAAGTTGGACTTACAAACAAACCTCAGGAACGTACAGTTGCTCGTTAGTAAGTAGAGGAGCACCTGTATTGTAAATATGTGTTTTGTGTGTGTGTGTGTGTGTGTGTGGTGACACACACAAAACACATACAAATAAATAATAATTGGAAATCCTCTCACAAATAATCCGAAACAAATTTAATAAAATGTGACAGTCTACCCTCAAGTCCGTACTCTATTACAGTACTTTATTAATACGGACTTGATAGTACTGGTAAAATAAATAATTGTCCTAAGGGCAAACACATAAAGGGAATAAACATTTCTTTGTACCCCCCCCCCCCCTTCAGTTGGCAAATGTTATTCGTGGATTTGGTGAATCGTGGCCATTTTGAGAACCCAACCCCCTGCAAATTTTTTTGTGGGGGGCCTCTGTACAAGTAATTTTTATTGAAAAAATCACCTTTGAATTCATATTTGCTAATTGCAGCTTGAGTTAACCCTTTTTTTTTATTTATTTTTTCCAGAATCAAATATTTCAATTCAAGAAAGATGAGTGTGTTCACCCAGCAACTTAATCCTATAACTGGGAAACTGGAGTGGGGCATACAGCCTGAAGATTATGACTACAAGCAAGAGGTAGCACGATCTGCTTATGCGGACATGCTGCATGATCAAGAGAGGGTATGTTATGTTTTATTACAGTAGTCTTTATGGAGAGTCTCTTTATGTACTAGAATTTGAGTACAGAAACTAAGACACTGCTTATATGACTTCATATTTAATTATTTTATGGTTAACTTTTAGTGTGTGGTTTGAGGAAAAAGTTTAAGTTAGTCATGTCATACTCGAAAATCTTTGGAAAGATACACACCAACATGCATTATTTTGTTTATAATTATACATAATTTTTAAAGTTATTGTCGTACATAAACCTTTCACTTCCCGCCCAGTGGCTTACCTGAAAGCTAAAATCAAATTACAGTTAAATAATATTGTATCATGGAAGACAGTCATTTGATGAATAGTAGTGATGATTGTATTGGACTGAGTGAGGAAGCTGTGGTGAGAAAGTGATGCATCTGTTGGTTTCTTTGGTAACACTGCTGCCTGCAGCTCTGCCAGATACTATTGAACAGGTGAATGATTAGAAAGGTGGAATGGAAGGGAGTGGTAGTAGGCAGCTCCCAAATAGGGAGGTACTACCGCCTGGGAAGATATTGGAAGCATAATGTGTTGTCTAATGGTAGACCCTGCTGCCATATGGCATCACACAAATTGTGATCAAGTCCCAGGTTGCTGATCTGACTTTCTGCCTCATTTACACACAATTGCAGGGTCTCAATTGTTTCTCTCACTTTGACAACACAACATACATATATTGTTTCTTTATTATTATTTTAATTTAATTTAATTTTTAATTTTGTATATATTTTTTTTAAATTCATTATGATTTTTTTTAAAAATATTATTATTATGATTATGATTATATCCCCCCCCCTCCAGGCCCCGATGTGGGTCAGTGACCTGTGTCTGGGTGGGCTAACCCCTGAAAAAAAAACAATGCTGTAAAATTGCTGTAAAATTGTATTAATGATTACTGTACTTCACTAAAATTGCTATTTTACCAAAGTATTGATCACATTTTTATGTACCAATTATTTATAATGAAAAAAATTTCTGACAGAATGACAAATACTATGAAGGACTGAGGCGTTCGATAGCAGACCTACGAAAACGTGGGCAAGAGGTGCATGTGCTAGACATTGGCACAGGTACTGGTCTGCTGTCTATGATGGCTGTTGCATGTGGAGCTGACTCTGTTACAGCCTGTGAGGTATGATAGGCTAGAGTAATGCCATTTAATGTCTAATGTATCTTGTACATGCTTACTTGCTGTATTTCACTAACTCATTTCATTATTCTGTAACCCTCACAATGTTATTAAGCCTACAAATAAACTTTCAGTGTATCAATTCTCCAACAAAATCCATAAACTCATATGAAGACAAGTAGACTCATCACTCACCACCACCACACACAACAGTCACTGAGTCTGTTGCCTGCTTTTCCAATTTCTTTTTATTTACCCTCTTGTAATATGTGGACAATTAAATATTCTTCTTCTGTATTCTTAGATGTCATATGCTAATAATGTACAATAAAGGTGCAGAGTTGTAAAAAAGAGTGTGGAATTTGGAAGTGAACAAAAGTTTACAGGTGTGGACATTACAAGCAATGCACAAGGGAGGGTGAGTGTAGCTTTAGCTGATGGCTGAGAGGATAGCTGACAAACTTAACATTGGGCACCTGTGGGTACTGTACTTACATATTTTCTCCATTGATTTTAAGGTGCTGTTTTTTAAACATTTGAAGCCAGTCCACATTGAAATCACAGTGCTGTGGAATTTTCAGTTCCTCATAGACTTCTTTGTCCAGTGTCTTCAGGATTTCCTGTACTGTATAATACTGTACTGCATGTACAGTATTTTCACTTAATATGTTTATTATGGGCTTATGATCATGAAAAGTTATCATTTAAAATATAATTTTGGAGGAATTTGTGTCATTTTGAGGATTTTTTTTTCTAGGAACATATCTCAGCATTTATGATGGAAGTCTACGAGAAAATGCTTTTATTTATGAAAATTTAATTTACAAAATGTTTGCATTGGATGCCACTTTTAATAGTTCATTTGGCTAATACCAGACAATTTTACTCAGTAGAGAGGGGAGCCTGTACACAAGTACTATAGTTAATATTGGATTGTAATAATCCCAGAAATGCTTTTATCTTTTGATCTCTGTGTACTTTGTATTACTTGGTCAGGAAGTTAATAATAACAAAGAAATTGAACTATTGCAAGATATTTAGCACCATTATTTATTTACAGGCATTTTATCCCATGGCTGAGTGTGCAAGGAAAGGATTAACGGCAAATGAATGTGCTGATAAGGTAAGAAGAATTTTTATCTTACTCTATCTTGTTAAAGAATATTGATTGAGTAATACACTCATCTTTGAATAATTGTGTATGTACTGGGTATTTAGAATTCACATCTTCAAAGATTTTCAGGAGACCAAAAAAATATTCAATATTCTTAATCTGAAGTGCCTTATGTATGGTAGCTATGTTTGAAAACTGCGGGTAGCTATTGCAGGCTGCATTATAACCAACAGACGAGTTTGCATTATTATGCCAGCTTTTTGTATTGTCATCATACTTTATTGTTGGCTTCACGAATAAAATGCACTTTATTTTTTGTCACCTTGACTGCCACATAAAATATATTTATAATTACTGTGCAAACAAAAACTATTTGTTAAATGGACATACAGTAATTATAAAATAGATACTAATACAGTAATAAATAACTGTAGCACTTACATTGCGAGGTGAGCTGATAACATGTAGATATTCTGGTAAATGAAGTAAAAACTCACATTGGAGAAATACAAGATGAAATCTTGGAGCTGGCACACTAAGACCCTCTTTAGCCAAGAAAGATATATAACAAAGGAAATAGGTCACAAGACCTGTTTCCTGAGTTGGGGTAGGGTGGGGTCCACTGACCACATGCCAGATTAAAGTTAGGTGTAGAAGTAATAAATGAAGATTCTAAAATTTTTCTGCTGAAGGTACAATTGGACTTATAAATCATAGAACTATTATTCCAATCTAGTGCAACAGATTGGAATAATGGCTCCATGATTTAAAAGTCCAGTTGTAGCTTCAGTAGTAAAATTATAGAATCTTCTACTGAAGCTACAATTGGACTTATAAATAGCTACTACTGTATATCAGTCGATTGCAATAGATTGGAATGATTGTATTTATTATTCTGGCTAATGTGGATATTGCTAAATCTATCACAAATTACAAGTTGAAAAATAACCATCACTGGTAGGGAATGTTGTCAGTTATACCAAGGGTTTACTGTACAGTAGTACCTCCACCGTACATTAAAGCATTCGTCGAGTATTATTACAAAAATAATAAGTAATATTATGTGGCCATTATATATATCTTCCGTGTATAACACATGAAAGTGTTTGGGTCAGTTGGACCCATTATTTGTTAGTTACGGTCATCAGGAACACATTCCCGGCAACATTGAGGACTCCCTGTACGGGATTACCTTTACCTTCCTTTTTCAGTCAGTGTACAAGATTGCCAAAGCAATGAATTAGTGATGAATTTACAGCACAGTGAAAGTGTTAAGACTATTTATGGTTAAATGTTATTTATGTAGGTGCGTCTGGTGCCCAAGCGGTCTACAGAAATTGAAGTTGGACCTGGAAAAGACATGGAGAGGCGGGCTAACCTGTTAGTTGCTGAAGTGTTCGACACAGAGCTGATTGGTGAAGGAGCAATTGACACCTACCGTCATGCACGAGATGTATTGCTTACGGTAAGAATTTGTAAATAAGTGTATTAACCATAGTACAGAATTTAAGTGCATTATAGATATGTAATGTATTTACTGTATTGATTAGGCAGGGGGAAGAAACTGGATTTGGCTTCTGGAAACCGTGCTCTTTGGACTTGACTTTGGCTTTGAAGCATTCTAAAGGCTTCGGCTTCAAAGGCATAACACCAGCTTCAGCTTCAAAGCCACTGGCCTGACTTTGGATTTTCATCTTTACACAGGCACTCTGATAAGTGACAAGGGTGTTGTGTCTTTGCCAAAGTTACTGACCCGCATGTCAGTGACCAGTGCTGACATGAGAACATATTGTCACAGGTCAATCTGGTCAGTTTCTCCACCCCAGGTAGTGACTGGAGGATAACTTTGGGTGAGGTCAAGTCAAATGTGAGTTGGCCATGTGACCTTGATCTGACACATGAAATATATCCTATTTCATTATTTACGCAGTCAGTTTTCTTTCTTATAATCTTGCATATAAGAACAATATCTTGTTTGCAGGAGTCATAACTTGGCAATTCATTATTGACACCTTCCTAGTATGAATTATTTAATTTATATATCTTTACATTGCTCTTGTCTCTTCACAGATTCCTTGTAAAAAAATAGTAGTCAGTGGGATTTAGGAAAGGGACAAAGTGCAAATAGTATCAGGGAACATAGTGGTTGGGGCTTTGGACCACAGAACCTAGAAATATTTTAGGTACAGTACTATAGTTTTCTTGGAGATGGCATTCCTTGCACAGTAATTTTTATAATTGATGCAAACTGAAACAAAACCAGTGTTTGAAAGTTGGATTGTAGCTTATTGGTTAACAATTTGAATAGAATTATCCTGTTGGTGAATTTTATCACAAACATGCAATTTATTTATATTTTCAACAGGAAGATGCACTCTTGGTTCCTTCAGAAGGGACGGTATATGCTCAAGTGGTATCATCAAAGATGTTGCAGAGATGGAACCACATCCAGCCTGTTACTAGAATCAAACAGGGAAGCAAGGAAGAAGAGGTCAGTGGATGAAAGATTTGCTGTACCATCTCAAGGGAAACTCATCACAGGTCTTAATCTGCAGAAGACTACTAATGCCAGGGTTTAGTCAGCTAATTTCTTCAGTCTTCAGGTGTTCCTAGTCTGTGGAAAACTTGAATTCTTGTTTATTATCTCAAAATGAGTCTTCTTAATAGAGTCAGATTAGGTCACAAAGTCCTTACAACAGTAATACTCATGACAAAATTAAATGTAATATTATATGGTTAACAGAAGTGTGGACACCATCAGCAGACACCAAAAAGAGGTTAGAGGTCTTTGAAATGTGTTGTTATTGGAGAATGTTAATATAAATTACACTGATAGGAAAACAATGAAGAAGTAATAAGACTCCCCAAAATTTAAAAGAAAAAATCTTGAAATTTATAGAATAAGGAAAATCAGGTCTTTTGGTCATGTAAATAAGAATGAGGGGATAATGAAAAATATAATGGGCAAAGTTGAGGGTGGGAAGGCCAGAGGAAGGCAGAGATTGGAATGCACTAATGAAATTGAAAATTGGATCCATGGAGAGGTGCATTATCTCATAAAATTGGTAAAAAATGCCCCAAAATGTTTCGAGTGGAAGATTGTGGTCACCTACCCTCAGATCTTAAGAAGGGCACTATTGGTCAATTGAATAACTAATCTTGGTATCACTCGGTGAGTTAATTAGCAAGCAAGGAGTAGATTGAAGGAAAGAAGGTAGTGCTTATGTAGAAATACTATATTCTACAGGTATCCTCTATTTTCGATCGGGTTATGTATCTGAAAACCCATTGCAGGTCGAAATACCGTATATTGGGATCGTTATAACATGGAGTTCAATGGGATACGTTCCCAGTCAGTCCAACACCCACATTAAAAAAAAAAAAATTCCTATAATAAAATGAACATTAAACAGCACTCATTGCATCATTAAGAAGAAGCCTGGTTGTCATCACATGTCCTCTTTGAGGCTAAGGTGACTTTTGAAGGTGGATGGGTCGCCATGGATGTAATTATCACAATCAATTGATCAATCTTGAAGTTGCAGTGGAGTCGTCACAGATTCACAATATTGAGCTTCACTTCCAGAGACACGGTTTTCCTGGGTGCCTTGTCCTTGCCAGACATTATCAAAGTTACACCACTCACTTCACAGAGCGAAACACTTTGTCACAAAGCCAGAGTACATTGTGAACATTAGTGATGTCCTCTCTCTGTAAGGCAGAATACAAAAACAAAAAGTAACCACCGATACTCGCCAATAATCGATAAGCTACATGATCATGGGCACATGCAATCATCTTGGAACAAAACTTGGTACTGTAGTGCAGCGGGTGGCGGCGTGCAAGTAGACTGTAGCTGGTAAGTGTGGCTATCGGAGAGTTACGGGTTTGAGGGATTTCGGCTAACAGAGAAGTTACTATGCTATTTCAGGTATCCCATAGGTTAGTTTGTGCACCATACTTTTCTAATACCATGGGCAGTTCACATTAATGTTAGTGTTATCCTCATTAATGTTTCAGTGTTGTCCTCATTAATGTTTCAGTGTTATCCATATTACAATTGTGTCATGCTGAAATAATATTTTCCACTTTGATAAAGGTACTGGTGTCAGTGCCAGAATGTGTACAGCGATGCCCAGGTGCTGCTGCAGTCCATGACATCCAGCTCTCTCAGGTGCCACAAGAATGGTTTACTCCGATGTCTCACCCGTTACCTGTATTTTGGTTAGTTCTTACATGTTGTTGGTTGCCATTTACACATACATGAAACAAGAATTTTTTTTTTCTTGTATAGAGAAAATTACCAGTTAGTTGGGAGAGGCCTTTTCACAAATCACGTTGCTGTCGATCGGGGCATTTTTGTGGTGCTGGTCCTCAATCCAAATGTTCAGTGCTTTCTCATTTTCACTATGTTCCTGTCACGAACAACCTGCGTCACTTTAGCACTTGCAGGGGCACTTGCTTGAACAGAATCACGAATTGCTTGTTTATTTTTCTTGAAATACCGCACTGTGGCAGCAATCATCCTCTCCTTTAACTTGTCTAATAGTTAAATTTTCTTTACCAGGATCATCACTGAATTTTGCCTTTTATATTTCACTCCACTTGCATCACTACTGTAGCACTGACTCTAGGCAGTCTTTTCAGAGCCATTTTCACAAAGGAACACAAAAGTTTTGAGAGTATGACATGGGATGCTAGGTCACGGGTACTGGGTGAGGGCAAACAGAGCAAGGTGAGACACCGCAGGCGCGAGGTGGTGAATCACTGCGCTGCGGGAGAAGGCTTGCATGCTAGCCACCCGAGCCCCCAGCTGCTTACCTCGAATCTTAAACCCGCGAATGGGAAGGGTCTACTGTAGTTTTTGGCCACACTGTACACAATTTGTAACATGATTACAAATGCTTTGTTGCAACACATCTCACTGCTCAAACATTTTCACTTCTTTGGCATTGTATTTCATCAAGCAGTGTTGAAACCAAATACCGTACTTTACAATGTGGTAACACAAAATTGATTAGACTCTTGTCCTTCTTATATCTGTCCCAAACAACCACTTGATTCCATTCTTATTGATTTTACTTCTCCCTTACTTCCAATAATTTTTTCAGTTGCTGATCATTTTAATTTATGTACATCACCAACAGGTTTGACTGGAGTGGCAGACAGAAAGATATACCATGTGATGAGACAACTCGTGTCAAGTTCAAGACCTTGGCATCTGGTGATTGTGATGCTGTGTTTATGTGGTGGGACCTGAGGATGGACCAGGATGGGGAAGTGATGCTTAGTTGTGCTCCCTACTGGGCTCACCCTGATCTTGCTGGTGTGTACTTTACCCTTACATATATGGTCTGCTGAGCATTAATTATTGTATCAGTAATGTTAATTCATCTATTTGCCTATTTAACTGTTTTGTGAGATTATGTTTATTGAGTTGTCTTACTTTAATTATATGTATATTTTTTAATTTTTATTCATCATCCTATTTTCTGCTGGAAATGTTTAAAATTGTCATACATGTGGCAGCATTTACATTTACTATCCTGTCTTTGCTATCTCATCAGTCCAATAAAAAATGAAGAATTGAAGTGTGAAATCACATATTTTGGCCTTAAGGATGAATAAATTGACCTGTGAGAAGTGTTACCACTAAATTGCCCCTGGCAGAATCTGTCATTGCCTAGGGAACTTCTGTTGCTTAGTGGCAGGATGGTGAAGGATTATGCTGAAACTAACTTTTTTCCTATTCAAATCTAAATTGGAATCTCATTAATTTGTAATTTCTTGACATAATTGTTGTTCACATTTGTTTCCTGTGATAATTGGTAACAAATTGTCAATCTAATCTGAAATGTTTATATTCCTGGTTAACTTTTCCAAATAATTAAAGAAAATTGCCAAGAAAATATCTGGATTATTGAGGTGGGTGGCATCTCAGCCACTGACCCAGCAGTTACAATGCATCTTTTGAGAGAGCGACACACACACACACACACACACACACACACACACACACACACACCCATGCTCCTGTATTAAGCCTTGTGGCAAGGATGTCACCCAGCTTACTCCCAGTTATATGAAGTTAATCTTCATTACATACTACATTAGTTTATATGTGCAGTTGGTAAAACTTTAATGAACATTCTTTGGTAATTCATTAGAAATAAGAGATTTAAAAAAAAGATTTAATTATGACTGCATCATGGCTAAGGTCCAGACATGGAACATTAATGTTTTGATTTATATAATACTGTATTGGTAACTGTGAATGTTTAGTGATATCTCCATTACCCAGAATAATTGGTGTAGAGAAGTTCTGGGATTGATAGACTTCAGGTATGGAGACGAATTTTCTCGTCCCCATTATCCAAAGCAGTGCTCTAAGGGGTCACTATACCATTGCCTGTATGGAGATGCATTCCTGATGACATTATTTTTTACCGATCAGATATATACAGTGTTATGTATGAAGGGTACAGGTGTTAATAAACACATTACAGTAACACATCTTTACTAATTAATGAATAACAATTAAATAATATAATATCATGATTGACAATCATTTGATAAACAGTAGTGATGATTGTAGTAGAATGAGTGTGAGAGGCAGCGTGTCAGTGAGATGTAGTGCGTGGGTGAGTTGGGGAGGGGGAGGCAGTGGATATCATATGACTACTCTGGCTGAAGCTAATCCATCATTGCATCACTGAAATTATGATTTAGGAGGTGTTAATACTGTAGAGGTATTGGTGATGATGGTGGTAAGTGATGCATCTATTGGTTTCTTTGGTATCACTGCATCTGCACCACTGCCAGATGTTATTGAATATTATGTGGTAACATGAACTGGGTGTGTTGCCAAGCGCTCAACAGCTGATCTTAACCCACCACCACGCACTTATGCTTCTGTTAACCAGCAACACATCACGTCTAATAAGGCGGTGAACCTAATATTCCGGGATAGTACCTGTATATCAAATAGATAAATGTAAAACCTATTTTAATAAAAGATAATATTTTGTCACAAATTATAATTTACTGTCAATTTTATTATACTATAATGAATCTGACTATAAATATGTTTGTTCCTTCTTTGCTCAGATAAAAGTTGGAAAGGTAGTAGTGAGGACATTCCCTGGAGAGACCACTGGATGCAGGCAGTGTATTATCTCCCACAACCTCGCACAGTATGTGAAGACACCACGTTTACTCTCCTTTCAGCACATGATGAGTACAGTCTCTGGTTCAACATTCAAAAGGATGAGAGGTTTGTGTTTTCAGGCAGACTGATTTAACTGTACATAATTGTTAGAATATTGGTGAGAACATAATGGCAGAGGCACAATGTTATTATGTGAGGAGATGACTGTTCTCATGTTCATAGGACAGATTGTTGTATAATGTACTCATAAAGTTTTAAGGCATACATTTTATGGATATTTGTTGCTATCATTAGGAGGAGTCTCAGTGGTGACCTCTGCAACACCACTGACGAATACGAAGGTGACGAGGTTCTGTGATGCCCTTGTTTCTTTATCTATTTTATGTTCTTTATGTATTGAGTAAAACAAGTGTTAAAATCTGACGGCCGCAACCACCCGTATCTCCCCTATTTACATTATTTCTTACGGGAGAAATTGCTCCGCTATTCGTAATTTCGATATTCGCAATGGGTTTCATGCCCGTAACCTTTGCGATAAGTGAGGCAGCCCTGTACTGTACTGTATGTGTATTAGTGAGCTACTTTAGAGCTGTATGATATCTTTGAACACTGGTTTTGGAGTGTTTTTGGTGTTGGGAGGGGTGACTTTGGGGTCAACCTGACATATCCCCTATCTCCCCATGTTATAATTGTTTTGTTCTACACAGTGTTTTGTGGGAAGGCAACCCCCCACGTTAAGCGAGGGGGCAGCGTATGTCCTACTCTGAGTATCAGTTGGCACCATGCTTTCTGCTCATTCACACATACTCCTGTTTATTGGGTGTCCACTCCTTTCACCCCACCCTTCTCTGTTTCACCTCTGAATTACACTTTTTTAAAACCATTCTTCCATTTCCCATTCTCTCAGTACTGTATGTCCATATCACCTGAGGAGACCCTGATCAAATCCCTGGCTGACATTCTTGCTTGTGCTTATTTCCTCTTTAATTCTGTATTATTACTCATCTTCATTTTTTTGTCATTGAAGTTACTTCTTTGTGGTTTCAGTGAAGACATATGTGAGGAGCGGCCAGTCTGTGAATGTGGCATTCACATTGCGAACTCTCGAACTCGTCTAGGGCAGCTCAATGATCCTCGCAGATTAGAAATGTATGTCAGAGTCTTAGAAAAATATATTAAGCCTGATAGTGTCTGTTTAGCATTGGGTGATGGCTGTTTAATGGCTGTAGCTGCTGCTAAGTTAGGTAAGCCATATATTATTTTTCTAATGCTTGTTTTATTCCTCTTGTGATTCTCAACTGTTGTTCTGTTATCTCTCAAAAACTAAGTTTAATTTGTACTCGAGATGTATGGAAAACAAAGAATTTTTTTCTAGAGAATTTTTTTCTTAATGTCTGGGGTTGACTTATACACTAGATCAACCAATACATAAGTAAATAGGGTAACTTTAATTTTATGCATTAAGCTTTCATTTGGATGTATTTTGAGTGCCTTGGATAAGACTAGGATCATAATTGGAAAGTTTATACTGTATAAGATGTTTTTGGTATAAAAGCCAATGCATGGTTGCTTCAGTCAGTTATATTGTACTTGGTTAGTTAGTTTATAAAATATAATGGAAGGATACAATAAAATATATGTAGTCATAATTTTGTTATTATGCACTTGTGTAGTTTCAAGAGTTCTTGGTTATGATGCTTTATCAGCCTGATATGTGTATACAGTATATTGTTTGGCCCATATTGCAGTACTAAAATGGTCACAACAGTCTATCTACTGAAGGCAAATAAAGAACTATTATTGATTTAAAATATTGACAATTTATGATGGTTTTGCTCAGCTAATATACCAGTTATGGGTATTTTTTTTATATTCCTGTACACTTAAACTCAGTCAGGCCTGGTTGGTTCACAGCACATAGCCTTATGTCCTGTCTTTTGTCATCCCACTGCAGGAGCTCGTCATGTTTATGTTACTGAAGGAAGTGACCCAAATAGAAGAGTGATACAGGAGTTCATCACAACAAATGATGTTCAACACAATGTTACTATATTATCAGAAGATGTTTGTGACACTTCTGTGGAGCAGATGGTGTCACCTGTGAGTAATTGTGTTGTAACTCCAGAATTGTGATAAATTGATGACAGGGTAGGAAAACTTGGCATAAAAAAACCTCCCAATACAATGTGCTGATTGTAGAAAGCGGAAGTTTAGGAGAGTGTGGCATGGAACATCCATAACTTGGATATTAGCTTTCCACCCTGCCTGATTATAGAAGTATGTTTCAGAATTAGTATGCCATGAAATAGTTAACTTAAATACTCATGATGTGTGATATAATAGGGACTTAGTGTTTGAATTAAGACCTTATAGTTAATACTGTATATATACCCTCATTCTTGTTGGATTTCAGGCAACAATAACGTTTAGTGAACCATTCTTCTCAACGTCTCTCTTGCCGTGGCATTCACTCTACTGCTGGTACATGCGCAACACTTGCCTTCATCTGCTGGCGCCTGGGGCCATCAGGACACCAGGCACTGTCACAATTTGGGGTTTACCTGTTCAGTACAGAGACCTTTGGAAAATTCGTGCCCCACTACATCAGTGCAACGGATTCAAGATGGATATATTTGATAAGGTAATATATTGGTAGCTGTATGCTTTCAACCATTGTCTGTTAGATACTGTATATTAATCATTTTAGGCATTTGAAGAGGACAAAAATATTGAAATAGACACGGGCAATGAAGGTCAAGACTTCTCCCAGTCAGCAGCGGTTAACCCCTATGCTTCGGGTCACATCCTGTGACGTGTGTTTATAGAGCTTTGGATCATGTCACATGACGGTGTGATCTTTCGCTGGCCTATTTGAATAAAATGGGTGGGCTTGGCTAGATTATGTTGCTAAGTAGATATTTATCTTTCACTTACACTTGAAAGTCTCCCAGTCTCTTCTCAGTAGCTTCTCAACTTTTGTGATGTAGGCATCTCGCCCTTGGACTTTATTCACTTCAGCATGTGTTTCTACCGCCTGCCCCCCCCAAGCACAAGTCTAGTACTATATTGTGATCAATTATTGGATCTGTAATTATAATTGTTAATAGTGTAAATAGTAATAACATGGTAAAACAAGTGTCCTGTACCTCATATTAACCAAAAAAATGGTGTTGTTTACCTCGTTAATACTGCGTGACACACACACACGCCACTTCGTCTAGCCCTGGTGCTGCCAACCTGTGGTAAGGATATTTATTTATTTTCTGTTTATATCATGCATGGCCAGTTTGTAAGAGTAGTATTGCTTTTTATTTATTTTTTCAAATGTTCCCGAATATACTCTCCCAAAGCCCAAGGATTAATGTTTGTTTGTGCTTTTATGCTGTACCTTTATGCAGTTTGAAGCTAAAGACTAATTTGTTTCCTTTTAACTCATGAATTGGATATATCTCCCTTCACACGAGAGAAAGGATTTTACACACTTTTCTTTGATGAGTTGCTTTGTCTGGACAAAATGTAGGTTTTTTTTGTTTTACACTCTTGTTATAGATGGTTAGCACATCTCATGAGCAACAAAATACAGTATAGTAACCATTTTTAGCTCCTCTGGTCTATTCATGGGATTTAGAACAGAAATTAGATTTAGATGTACAAACAGAGAGGGTGAGAGAGAGAGAGAGACAGTGTGTGTGTGTGTGAGCCAGTGGCTACATGAGGACTGGTCTGGTCTCGTCAACCGCTTGTGAAACCACTCAAATTACCAGCATTGTATGAAGAACTCGTTACAGTGTCCTACCTTTAATGGTGACCTTTGTTTCCAAACCTCCAGTTTTGAGGGATGTGGTTGTGACAGTGAGGAAGAAAAAATATGAGATACAGTAGGTTGGTAAGTTTAATGAGTGGATAGTACCTGGCCAATAATGCTTATGATCTACCTGGCTTATTGGGTGCATTATTTGAATTGCTCATGTGAAGGCCCAACTATTAATCATGATTTCGGGATCAATCCTACACTTTTTGAAACGAGTGAATTTATGCATTGTAAGAAAGTTTATATTGCTTGCAGCCAATCATAAATAAAAGCAGCTACCCTTATAATGGAACCAGCTTATACAGTACATTCTTAAATCAGAGGATGAAATTTTCAGTCTCACTCACGACAGATTTTGTGAACAGCTTTTGTTAATTATTACTTTTGATATATGACTGTTTAGAAATGTGTTATTTTACTTTAGATCTCTTCTTGAAATGGTGAATTTTAATACAGTATGTAAACCGTTCATGTTAGACGAATACAGTATATAGAGACCTAGACTGTTTTGCATAGTTAATTTGTGATGACATTGCAGTGGATTAGTTATACAGTAGGGTCGGGATATATCGCTACTTTATATAGCGATTTTTTTATATCACGGCTACCAAAATTATCAACATTTTCCTGTATATAGCGATATATTTTTTATTTCGCGAGGGAAATTGGGCAGGAAATATTTCAAATGTACCGCCATGGCAAACAAATGCGTTATTTGCTCACCAGAGGCACCGCCGTGGCTGCTCACTCTCGCAATTACGCTCGCCCGCTCAATCTTTCACTCTCACCCGCTCAATCTTTCTGAGTGAGTGGCGAGAAAGCAGCTGACTGCTGTAGATTACGACTTCTAAGGTGAGTGTAAATGGGTTTCTAGTGACGTGTGAAGTGAAGATAATGGAAAGCTTATTGGAAAAGATTTAATACTGTAACTAATATTTTTGGTTTGTTCGTTTATGATCATTAAGTGAGGGTGGCAGTGTGTTGTCTGTTGTTCTCGGGATGACACGTCAGCTGCAGAGTCCAGTGCAGATTCCAATTTCTAAAGCGAGTGTAAATGGGTTGCTAGTGATGTGAAACGTTAAGTGAAGAAAATGGAAAGCTTTGATGGAAAAAATTTAAAACTGTAACTTATATTTGTGGTGTTCATTTATGTAGGTGTGGGATTGTCAAGTGAGGGTGACAGTGTGGCATCAGCTGCCGAGTCTGTACTACTGTATAGTTATTTAAATAACACATACCATCCTTAAATTCTGTGGTTACTTGCATATAATAATGGCTGTAGCACTCAGTCATGTTACAGGTGAGTGGTGTATTTTACCTTACTTTTATCAAAATACTGTCTGTATATTATGGTTATTTTTACATTATATTAGCTGCTTTTAACACTATTTATATGCCATAGTTTGGTACTCAGCGATTTTTTATAAAACAGTGTATTATGCAGGCGACGTATGTATGAAACTCGTGACGTATCATGAAAATTTATTCCCATGTTCATCAGTGATATGATTGAACGAATGTTGACAGGTACAATGTATACCAGCGGGGACCCCCTGGATATTGATTTTCCTTTTTTCACTACAACTCTACAGCTCACAATGCTTTATACCAGAATTAGTGGAAGCTTCCCAGTAACAGCTCCTAAATGCAAATTTGTTCAAATCTGCTCTCCTCTTCAATATTAAGTTTCATGTTTACTTTCAGCTTATTGAAACAGCATGTGAAGAAGCAGATGAAAGAGTTGAACCTCAACCACTTTGGGAGTATCCAGCTAAAGCTCGAGGGTATCCCATCCGTCTTCTCACTTTAGATCTGGCTGCCCCCATCCCTGAAAACCCCATGACCTCTGCCGACTCTATCACATTGCCGAGTCCTGGTCATGTCAATGGTATGGCTCTCTGGGCAGACTGGCACATGACAGATGAACCAGGGGATGCTCTTACTACAGGCCCTGTGGAACCAGTTGCTTTAGATCAATATGTAAGTACAGTACTATATTACAGTACTAATCTTTTGTAGCAGTTATATTAACTGATTGCTTTATTGACCTGGAGCAACATTTAGGTTTGATTGGTTGATTTATGAAATTTAGGCTCAAAGCCAGGGGTTCTCACCCCCATAACCTCCCAATGGTGGGTAAGTAATCAGATGGTAGAGGAATATACAGTCATACAGCTGTCTTGTAACACCATTCCTGTATTGTATCCATACGATACACAAATATAGTCACTTGTGTATAAAAGAAAATTTTTGTTTAACTATACAAGTTAATCTCAACATCACTCAAAAACCTGTAATGTGGAACAGATACATATGTAGTTTCTGATCAGTTACACCCAGCACATCAAATATAAATCACATGGATGGAGGTAATTCTATGAGACCAAATCCCCATGTAAAACTTAAGGAAATATTTTATTTTGAAATTATCTTCGATTTTAAATGTCACACACACACACGCGACGGTGGTCAAGGATGTGTGTGTTTTATAAACTGAAGATTCTTTGATTAAGTACATCCATATTTTATATGTATATAACTGTAAAAACAAATAAGGAAAATGTGTTACATAATTGAGAAGTGTAAAAGTAAACACTGGCAGAAACAGGTTCACTCTGTCATGTTTATATTATCATTTAATGTTCAATACCAGGAAGTATAATTACGTGGTTAAGCAACGTAGCATATTTTCTTAGTAACATATATTTTGTATGTAACATGTGTGCTTTATCATTTAATCAATCTTCAATACAAGTTACATCATTCATAATTCATATGTGAAGTGTGTGCATTATAATTTAAAACATTTTCTGTTATTAAACAACTTTGTACACAATATTCTAAATTAAAACTCTGTCATATGTCGTATTCGTATGCTATAACTGTGTCGTATTTCTTATCTGACATTTGTACGTCATCATTTGATTAATTTTCAATACCTGGAGGTACATTAGGTTAAGCAACGTAGCATAAAATTTTCTTAGTTGGAGTTTGATACACAGTCACTGTAATCATTTTTTATAAACACCATTGACAAGAAAGCTGCCACACAGACATAGGTGCTTCCAAATTGTACCAGAACCTTGATAGCTTGACTTTTAACTGCTAAATTTCTCTTTGATAAAGTAACCCAAAACTTCTATGTCATCATAGATATCAAATTTCACCTGTAATTCTGCCATTTCAAGCCCAAATAGCCGCACTGCTTTACATGTCTTGAACAGAAACTGCACAAAAATCAAAAGATTCAATTGGCAGCGCAGGGAATCTGTCATTGAAATTTGCTGCCATTTTCTGTCTTCATATGTAGAAAGTGAATAGAGTTGAGAACAGTTCAGAGGTAGGAGTGTGGAACTTCTATTGCGAAATGTGTCATCAGGGCAAACCTGACCTGACCTGATACAAGGAGAATAACTGCATTAATCCCTTGACCATAAGTTGTTTGCTACCTTCTCAGTACGTGTACAGTACTGGTACAGGTTGTACCTCTCTAGTCTGACATTCTGTGGTCCGGAAACTCCCGTGGTCTGGAACGATTTTAGTTTGCCCATGGAGAAAATTAATTTGAGTCTGGTACTTTTTCGGGAATAGGCGGACGTTCTGAAATGTCACCCAGGGTGCGCTGATCAGACGTTCTGGAATGTCACCCGGGGCTTAAGGGTTAAAATGGTTTTACAGTATTTTGTAATTTCTGTGGAAAGGGAGTTGTTGAAACCATGCTACAACAGAGGGATGTTTGAGAAATTCTTATGTTGATTCAGCACTTCTATGTACTGCCAGAATCAAATGTATTTATTAATTATTTTGTCTTCTGCAGGTTAGTTGGGATGTATACAGCCGACAAGGAGTGTACTTGTTCAAAGAGCCTGTGACTGTTGACAAGATGCAGCCACACACACTACATTATTCTGTCACATTCCAGCCATGTGATGGCACTATGGTATTTGACTTTCAGATGAAAAGACAAACATTAAATGACAGTTGATCAACAAGGGAGAAAATTTGGATATTATACAAATATATAAAAATTTTCTTATGTAATGTTTGCAGAAACTTCCTAAAATTATTATACTACTGTATCTTAAAGTGGCAATGTGTAGGGGTGGACAGGTAATAAGTTACATAGAAAAGAGTCATAATATTATGAACAGTAGTGTGTGCCACCAGTTTTTCTCAGTGATGTATCCGTTAGCCGGAACATTTGGTGCAGGGCACTTCCGGAAATGAGAGATTTCCGGGTAACGAGACGACTCTCAAAGCCAGAAAAAATCCCTCGTTGTTGGAATTTTCCGAGTAACGGAAAAATGTTCTTGACAGTTCCAGGAATTACCCATTATATCTTTTCTCGAACCCGAAAAATTTTCCCTCATCCTCGGAATTTTCCAGAATTTTCTGGGTACGTACTGGAAAATTTTTCTCGGGATTTACAGAAAATTAACCTGATTTTCATCTCTCAAACCCGGAAGAAAACTCCCCCGTCCCCGGAATTTTCCGGAAAAATGTGTCCTTCGGAAAATCGTTCCCAAAGCCGTAATTTTCCGGAAAGTTACATCTTTGGGAACGATTTTCTGAGAAAACTTCAATACTGGCTATCGGAGAGTTCCGTGTTTGAGGAATTCCGGCTAACGGAGATATTACTGTATAACTGAGAGGTGGCAGTTACATTTGCTAGAGTGTATTATAATTATGGTACAGTTATAGCTGAAACCACTGTACAGTATAGGCCAAGGCTCTCCTACAAATTAATTCTTATTAATTTTTAATGATTTTCTTATACTATTATTCAGCCCTTCCATATACTGTACTGTACAGTATAAAAAATGGAAAAAAATTTGAGAAGAAAGTGCCTTGGTACAGAGAACCAAACATTATTACATCATGTAAAAAAGAATTGCTTGGGTCTTTTTTTTTTTTCTAAAATGCCAAGGTAGGAAGGGCATTTGTTTTTTGGGTTTTATTCTATTTTTATTGACCACTTAAGTTTTCAATTTTTTAACCTAAATGAAAACCTTTTTCCAATACATTTACAAAAATATAAATATACAAAGAAGTTTTGGAATAAAATATATTTATTAATTGAAAATATATAAAGCATTCAGGAAAAATTTTATATTCTTATAAACTTTCAGAGTTAAACAGTAAAGATTATCAACACCAATTGTTTCTTTCTGTAGGATGATGCTTTTTTGGAAGTCATTGACACTTATATCTGCAGTCACTGCTAATACTGTATTGTTCACTGTAAGACATGCTTCAATGCTAAATTCACTTAACTGACAAACAGCATTGACATAACAGCTGACAAACAGCATCACTATTTTAATTTTTTTATTTATTTTTTTCTTCAACAATAGCCACTAGGTGATGAATAGAAGACTATCTATTTTTTTCTGAGTTATGGGGAATTAAATGCATGGACAAAGTTTTTTTTAAGGGCAGTAAAAAGGCCCAGCGGTGGAATTGGGAGAAATTAAAAAAAAAATAAATAAAAAAAATTAAAAAAAATGAGCAAATTTCAGATCCAGCTATTGGAGAGTTCCGGCTAAGAGGGATTCTGGCTTACGGAGATATTACTTAACTTGGGGTATAAAGTAGGGCATCACTCGAGCCTTGGGGAGTGACTGTGAAGTGAATTAACAGCTTTGCGTATAACATAATTATAAACCTTCAGATCAACCCATATTAGCACACGCCTAAAGCTGTTCATGATACAGACAAGAGACTACAAGTACCTATGTTAAAATAACATTAAAAGGTTCAGAGAATAAACTAAAATACAGTTTTATTTGCACTCACTGCTCTAGTAGCTATTGCATTTCCATAAAAGTACAAGGGATTGCTGAATACAGTAAATTAAGTTACAAGCACATTGGGCTGACAGCTTCGAAGTTTCTAGTCCAATGCAAAATTTGGCCCTGATGATAAGTAGCTTACTTGTGGGTGGATAAGGGAAGGTTTGAGTGCATTGGAAACTGGAGATGTGCTGGATAAGGGAAATTAATAGTTATAGGTTTTGTTTGATTTGCTAATCATACCTGTGTAACATTTATGAGCTCTATTCTTACTGTACAATCCTGTTGCTGCAGCCTCTATGTTAAGTAAATCCTCATCATTCATAGACCCCACAATCAGACTATCAAATTCATAGCTGAATGAAAATGCCATCACTGGGAGTGGCAGCTGATTGCTGGCCTGCAGCCAACATCTATGCTACAGGAGTGGGATTAGGCTCCCTATCAACTGTTTTGGCATAGCAATCTTGACAACAAACTGTCTCCTTATAAACATGGGTGTTCTGGTTTTTCTGTTACTGCCATTTCAATAATTGAAGACTGGCTTGGGGTCAGTCTGCTATCTGCTAATTCTAGCATTACACACTGGTCAGACATAGTGTTGGGCTTCAGCCTATTCGTAAATTTACTTTTTGTTAAGCATCTGTTAGTGTGTGTTTGGAATAGAAAACTTGTTCCCAGTAAAAGTAGGTATACATTAAGGATGTGCAATGTTGCCATTATTGTTTAATATTGTATTTTCATGGATGGGGTATTAAGAAAGGTGAAAGTAATAGTTGGGGGTGCAAATTTGGTAAACAAGAATACAGGATGCAGATGGGAAGTGAGTGCATTGCTCTTTGCTAATGACACAGCCCTAGTGGGTAGTTCTGGCTAGAAGTTACAAAGTACAGTATGTCAAAAGGAGTAAAGCTGAGGTTGTTTCAAAGAAGTGTTGAGATATTACTATATTGATGAAGCATGAACCTTGGGTATAAGAGGAAAATGCAAATGAGAAGAACAATTTAGAAATCAGATGGAGATGTGGAGTAGAAGAAGTTTGAGAGAGCTGACCATGATTTGCATAGGTGGTATGGGAATGTGAGAATAATGGGATGTGAAAGATTGATAAAAAGGATATTTAATTCAGAGGTAGATGGTAGTAAGGAAAGGGGATGATCAAGAAGAAAGGAAGGATTGGATGAAAGACATGTGAGGGCAATGGAGATCCAAGAAGCATCAGTGAATGTGAATAAAATCTCAGTACTGTACAGGTATCCCTCATTTAGTGTTAATTCACTTAACATTAATTTGGTTTAGCATTAAGAACTTTTGACACACTTTCTCACTTAAAGTTAAAAGAAAAATCATGACCATACTCTAATGTGGCTTAGAAATGAAGAAAATATAATATAAAACTATAAAATATAAACAATAAAGAGCACGGGTACGTATGTGTGGGAAGTGAACGTATGTATTGAGGCAGTGAGCTGTAACTGCAGCCAGCTGCACCCCCCCCCCTTTGTGATGTCACGGCATACAGCGTAGCAGCCACCTACGTCTCTTGAGTCAGCTGGGTGACTGCTCGGCTGATCTGTCATGTGTATACTGTACCAGTAAATGTGAGCAATAGATAAAACTAATAGCAAAATAAAAATAATAGCAAAAATACTGCATTGCCATTTGGCAATTGTTTTATTACACATGGGACACAGGCGACAGCGTACAGCTGAGAACCCCCATGATGCTCCCCCCACTCCCCAGATGTGTGTGCTAATTTCCTTGTACATAAGAAATGTCTATTCCCTTTAAGTTTTTGACCATATGATCATTATTTTATATATTTTTTTCACATTCTGTATGAAAGATTGTGTGTGTGCATGTAACGGAAAAAATGAAGAAAATTACGTATACGGTATCAGTAATATCTCCATTAGCCAGAATCCCTCTTGACTGGAACTCTCCGATGGCACATTTTCTGGAAAATACCGAGAAAAATTTCCTGGTGCCTGGAAAATTCCGTAAAATTCTGGGATGGGGGAATTTTTTCCGAGGTTGAGAAACGAAATTCAGGTGCAATTTCCAAAAATTCTTGAGAAAAATTTTCTGGTACCTACATGGAAAATTCTGGGGCTGGGATTTTTTACTGGCTTTGAGAGATGAAAGAATGCATCTTTCTGGAAAATTTCCAGAAAATTCAGGTACCCAGAAAAATTCTGGGGATAAGGGATTTCTTTCTGGGTTCGAGAGATGATGTAATGATCATTTTCTGGAACTTTCAAGAAAATTTTCCCGATACCCAGAAAATTCACGGAAGTGCTCTGCACCAATTGTTCCAGCTGACGGAGATATCACTGTTATCTACCCAAAATTATGAGTTAAAAAATAACCATAACATAGATCACAGCTGAGCGTCACCTCTTAGTGCTACTGGGTGGCGAGTCGGTGACAGTTACAGTCTACGAGCCCAGTTACACACACCCATGCTCTTAATTATTTTTTTTAGTTTTGTTATATTTTCTTTATTTCTAAGCCACATTAAAGTATAGAAATGACTATTCCATAATTTTTATAGTTTAATTACAGTACATGTAACAATGGCAACATGCCATCTCGTGAATATTATTTCTCGTCGTTTAGCGATAATTTCGCTTAACGTTAGATTTTCAGGAATGAGACCCCATCATTAAATGAGGGATATCCTACAGTGTTAAAAGATTTATAGAGGTGTTACAGTAGCCAGAGAGAGTAGATGGCAACGAATGGGGAAAGTGTTTGTTCTTGGTTCTGGCCACGCTGCAACATAGAAAGAGTTTATGATTATAAATATCAAGAGAATGGTATGTTTGACAGCTTGCAATCACAAATTGAGACTACATAAAGATAAAAATAGCTGTGTTATTAACCCTTATACTTACTGCATGCTTTAATAATTCCATTTATCCTGTACTACTGCTGTCATATATGCATATGCCATCTCAGCAAATGAAGTAAGGAAGGGTTAACTTTATTTATATACAGAAAAATCCTTAAATATTAAAGACAGATGAGATAAACTTTAACTGAATGGTGTAAAATACAAAGTTGTACAGAATGTAAATTATTTTTTAACTACCTTAACAAATGCAGTGTCATATTTAACTGGTTTTGATACAATAATTTTGTTATTTCCTAAACTGTACCCAAAATTAAACTCTTTGTAAATTATTGGTTAGTTGTTGTTCTTTACCAAAGGAGGAAATGAATCGAGCAAAAATTATTTGATGTATGTATGTGAAGTATGTACTTTAAAATAAACATTTGGAATTACTGCATTGTAGTTTGGTTACTCGTAAGGAATCTTTGTATTTATTTTCTCTTTATACTTTTATAAATTTTATTAGGACCATAGTTATCACTGTATATTGTGTAATAAATGCAGCAATACTGTAATGAAGTTTGAATACCAACTCCTATGCTGTTGAAGGCAATTTTTTGGCCTTCAGCATTGACAAGAGCAGCATGTACAGTTGGGGACAAAAGTTCGCTCCCTGTGGTGAAAATGAGTCATGGGTATGAGTCTCCGAACTAACTTACCCTGATTGTTTTAAGAATATGTATCCAGGAAGTGTTGGTCTTCTAACTGACGAGCAGTAATCTGAAAGAGTAACTGACTGTCAAAATAAATACATAACTGACTGATTGACTGAGTCAGGGTACTTGCTGACTGACTGGTTCACTGGAAAACTGACTGATTGATTCAATGAGACACAACTCCAAGTCCTTCCCAATTCTGGTGCAGGATAAAAAATAACCTTACACTACCCCCATCACCTCCCTTCCCAGGACTGTGCACCTAATTGCAGATGTTTAGACAAGGCTTTTTAAGCTTATCTTTTTTGGGTTCAGATTCTTTGGAGTCTTTCAGGAGTTAGTGTAGTAGACCTCCCCATCCACACAACCAAACAACTGTTACACCCATTGATGCTTAAATTATGGTGTAGATATAGAACACTGTGTACAGTACTAAGCACAAAGATACTCTGAGGTGAATATGTTTATCTATATTTTCTTTCTTACCACTCCTTGTCTACTCAAGTTTCTGTTTTTCTGTTCCATTATTCTTTGTAACATTTGAAAACAATATGGCCAGGTACTCGTGGTCTTCGGGTAAAGAAGAAAACACCACACAAAACAAGCGTATTTATTGGGTTTCTCAGAACACGGTGAAAGTAGAACACCGAGATGATTGTTTTCGAACCATCTGTTACGTAGCAAAAACCATTAATTACATGATTTATAAATTTTAGTTATTCAATATAAGTTAAGTGGTCATTTGAGTATTGAAAATGCTTACAATGTATTACCTAGCTTTTTACACCTAACCTCTCCACTCCTTTCTTCATTAATTTCACTTAAAATATACAGTAAAAAAGGTCATCACTTCGAAGAATAGTTAGATTTAGCAAGTTGGAAGGCAGTACACGTTCTCCTCACACAAGCCAGCGTATCTGTTATATACCTGATGGTGAGGACACTTGAAATTCGCCAGGCCACCCATGATACACAGGTGGAACTTGGTGCAGTCGTATGGGTCTTCCACTCGTTGATCGACGGTGGTACAGTGAGGCACACAGGGGTCGCAGTAGTTGTAGCAGACTGTGTTATCTGCGGTGCACTCGCCAAATTTATAATCAAAATGGCCCTTATGCGGAGGACAAGATTCCTCAATGACGTGGTTGTCCTCTAGACACACATAGTATCTCGAGCAGTTGATGGGATGGGGCTCAAGAGCTCCTACAGCGGGGCAGTTGGGCACACAGGGATTACACATTGACTTGCACGTGTTAGGGAGGAATTCGGGCAGAGGGGTACACCGGGGTATCGTGTGCTCATCCAAGAAGAACTGGCCGTCCGGGCATGACAATGACTCGGATGATGCCACAAGCTTGCCTGCAACAAGGGATATTTCCTAATGTTCGGGTTATTCATATCTACAGGTACTGTATATTCTTTACCGTTTACTAGAGCATCGTTGACGCAATAAATAATTCAGCTCGATTATATTGACATAACTCATGTTCATATGTACCCATTAACATAGACCTAATCTCATTATTTATATTAAACCAAAAAATGTACTAGTGTATCATGAAAACATTAGGTGTATAGTCAGGGTCTAAAGTTTTCTCCCGCCCAAAATGAACCACCATCGACAAAAAATGAGATGAAACAGTCAGGGTAAGTCAGTTCGGAGACTCATTCCCGTGACTCAGTTTCGCCATGAGCATCGAACATTGGTAAACCTCGACCTATTTCCACGAGCTAGTTATTTCTATGATTATCAGTTTACTTCTTTGTACCTATGAGTGACTCCTTCATCCACAGAGTAAAGCCGCCACCTGGGGTGTGAAACTCCACATCTGTCCTCCCCCCATTCTCTCACTGTTTCCTCGTTCCGAACTCATTTCTGGTCATTTTGTCAACAGTTCTCTCGAGAAAAATCCAAGTTTTTGCAAATAAATTTAAATAGAAATCATAAATGTTCCTGTGTTAACTTTCCCCCACACTGGGTAGGTATGAACTGCACCGAGACGACTACTTTAAGGCAGAGGGAAAATTAGTTTATGAATCTTTGATAATCCGGATATGAACTAGTTAAAATTCTCTTTAGCTTCTCAGAAACTAATGTAACTAGGACGCCACCGCAGTGACCGGAGCTCCAGAGATGTATGTGGAAGGTCGAGTCACTCATAATAGGACAAGAACAGTGCATAAGTTAGATGCACCAACCTCACGCCGCTGGAGTAAATGAGACAAAACATCATCACAGAACGACAATATTGCCTCCAAAGAATATACTGTATATATTTTATTATATTTGAGAACTACAGCATGTAGCGGGTGGACAAGCACGGGTTCTGCCCCCCCCCCAAAAAAAAAAATCGTCATTTGAAACGTCGAGCAATGAACTTTACGGCTCGGGCAGTGAATTAATAATATCATCTTGGCGAAGAGACCACTTTTATCAGTGTCACGTTACGCCAGACAAGGCATAGTGGGGTAAATCTCATTGAAACAATCAAAATCCTGAAAGGGATGGAAAACGTGAACCCGGGCCATTTCTTTGTGATGTCACGCAACACCAACATGAGAGAACATAACTATAAGCTAGTCATGCAGAACGAACATAAGGAAATAATTCTTCATACAGAGGCCGGTAGACCTATGGAACGGTTTACCAACCCAAGCTGTGGAATGACGAACTGGACTGAGGTTTAAAATAGCCCTTGACGAAATAATCAAGAACAATGGAGGGATCCTACACAGGCCACTGGTCGTTTTCCCTCGTCATGGCCACCTCTAGTGGGTGGCTATTAGGCAAACAAGGCAAAAAATCATTGGTGTCAGGAGTCTAAGGATAAGCTGAACTGTCATATCTATTATTCAGTGCCAGTAAAAATACTTGTGTATTCCTGGATCTACAGTATACATGTACCTGTATTTCCACATAAGTACACAAGGTGTTTTCATGCCAGATGGATACACACCATTGGTGGAGAGTGGGTGGATGGTGTGGGCGGTGGACCCCAACCCTTAATTAATCATGGCTGTGCCTTGATTATAATTAATATTCTTTATCAACGAAGTCACGTGAGTAGGATAGTCATTGTCAGCTGCAACTATTTATTCAAATGTAAGTCAAGGACGAGAGACCTACCGTGTTCATATTTGACAAATAATAACTTGTACCTTTGAAGAATGATTATAAAGATAAGAAAATGGTTCGTCAGCTCTACACATCCTTACCTGGACTACTGTAATACAAGCATGAAGAACAAATCTACCCCAAATAATATCACTAGAAAGAATTCAACACAGGGCGACTAAAAATTATTCCTGAAATAACCTATCTCTATTATCTAAGCAGGCTGAGGGCCTTGGGACTGACAATTCTTCAGACAAAACACAATAGGGCGGACTTCATAGAGAATGGAAAACGTAAACCCGGATCCCTTCTATAAGACGTCATGCGCTATAAACACAAGAGGTCACAGACTGAAGCACTTCTTCACGCAGCAGCTGGCAGACATAGGGAACAGCTGAAGCTGGAGAAGGAAGAACAGTAATTGGCTTCAAATTTTTTCTGAACAAGACTATTAAGAACAATGAGAGGATCCTATACTAGCCGTCGGGATGTGACCCTCACTCGTCGTGTTGGTTGTAAGGTAAATTGGGTAAATATCCTAGCAGTGCCATGTTCTTTGGGTCAAAAGGTTAAAAGTGCAGACTACACCTGGCTTGTCCCTAGTAGCACCCCTGAGGGTCACAAATATCATAGTTTGTGTACATATTCATCATGACAACATCTACACTGACAACTTTCTGAGTCAAAAGATGAACAGTGATGATCACGGCTCTGAAAATGAAACCACTCGAATTATTATTATTATGATTATTATTATTATTATTATCATTCTTCTTCTTCTTATTATTATTATTAGTATTATTATTATTAGCGTAATGATTAATTTTATAAAATTATTGTTAAGACATCGACTTTGACATGACTCGTTACACTTATAAGTTCACTGAAGAGAGGAAAAGACACTTCGTATGAACACTGTACAGGACCATACCATCTCCGGAGGTGTCGAGACAGATGTAGTACTTGGTACAGTCGGTGGGATCCTTCACGCTGAACCCTGGGTCCACACCTGTGCAGTCTGGGGCACACACCTGCAAGCTCCCTCTCACCTGTCACCACCAGGGAGGACATAGGAACCTATGATTAAGATTTACTGGCGCGTCTGTTACATTACGCTTAGGTATAATGTGTGACGAGGAATGTAGGGAACAAATTATATAAACAGTAATTGCAATGATTTCTTATTGTATTTCAAGAGCAAATTAATCGTTAGAGAGAGAGAGAGAGAGAGAGAGAGAGAGAGAGAGAGAGAGAGAGACTCACCAGCAGGATCATCAGGAGAAACGTAGCCACAAGGAACATGGCGTTGGTGAAGGCTTGGTGCCAACTGAAGGCCCCTTTATTGCCCACACCACCATCACGTCCATTTCCCACACCCCAGATTTCTCTTATCTCCCTTTGCCTTGGTACCCCCCCCATTGTCTCGCTCACTCTATCTGTCTATTTCTGTAAATAACGTCAACTATTCCCACACCTGCTGATAACACACATACACCTCTCATTGTTGTGACAGGCCCAGTTTTACTGTGTCTTACGGTCGCACCTTCAGCAAGTATGAGTAACCTTCGCTGCTGCCTACTCTGGGGTTACAGGGGTTAGTGGGTCAGTGGAAGTATCATAGTTGGTTGATAGCAGGCTGGCAGGCTGTTGACTCTACTGCTAGTAAACCAAACGGTGGCAACATGAGCCCCATAAGTAGACTGTTGGTGGTGGAGAGAAATGACCGAACAACACATCAGCATGCCTATTAGCAGAGGAATTGAGAGAAACGAGAAGGTGTCAAGTTCAGTCTCCTTCCCTCTGTCTATCTGCGTGTGAGTCTGTCTTTTCCTGTTTGCTGATTAGGTATTCAATAATCACTTACGCAGCCGCAAGTAAGACACCCGAGGCAGCTGTGGCCACGGGGATTCCTCTCTTATGTGTTATCTAGATCACAGTAAATGAATGATAAGGATACACGATACAGTTTGTGGTTTTTCCGTCACCTACTACTGTCTTTTTGGTATGATCTCTTCTCTGGCAGGTCCTCTGTGTGTGTGTGTGTGTGTGTGTGTGTGTGTGTGTGTGTGTGTGTGTGCATTTACATCACATGTTACACCCTCGCTTATTGACAAACTAAAGAAGTGTATTCCACATGACTCTAACTCTGACTGACCTTCACTGTTTATCATTGTAATTATCTGGCTAATTTGATAACCATAATTACCCCTCATTGCCTAAGCTCAGTAAATCAGTGCCACGTGCCCCCAGCCGCACCACGATAAAATCATAGCGATTTTCTACCATTTTCATTCTCCAAACAAGCCAGCCAACTATTAAACTTTTATTTAATTCCACAAAAGAGGGAAAAAATGTAATCGGTAAATGTAGGTTTCTGTGACGATGATTGACAAATTTTTTTTTTCAACTCGTATTGCTAAATAATTTTCGGTGCTGGACATGGGATGAATATACTGTACTGGGATAACGAGGTGTATATCCCAGCTCAGGTATAACTGATGATGGGTAACTCTAAAAGATTCATACAGCACTCCTCTCTCTCCCCGCCCACCAACTATTCATTGCGTTCATCCACTCTGTCTGTCTGTCTCTCCGTCCGTTTCTCTGTCTCTCATTTTTTCATTGTCTTTGTATGTTTTTGTCTCTCTGTCTGTCTGTCTGTCTGTCAATCAATCAATTTTGTTCGGTTGTCTTTCTTTACTCGTCTAGTTTTATCTCACTCTTCCTCTCTCTCCTTTGTTTTCACCTTCTCTCAGTCTGTCACACCTTGACTATGGTGAATTAACTCCTTGATTATGACGTCTTAACTCTTGAGTACGATGATACTGTTCTCAGGGGATTCAAAGCAATTATTCTCATCGGGAAAGTTGTCGTGCTCAATAAGTTGTTTGTCATCATACTCAAGGGGCTAAACTAAACTACTACTGATTCATTCATTAGATTTATACCAATTTGGGGCAGTTTTATTAGTAACTTAATATTTCTTTGAGTCTAGTAATTTTCAAATGGACTTATGACATCTGTGGACTTAGAATACCGGGAAAAAGTTGGTTGCTATGAATTAATTCCTACTATGGCGTATGTATTCAAAGTAAATATATTGTATATATGTCCTGGGTCACTTTTATACAGTTGTTGGAAAAACTCTCTCCCTGACGTTCTCTTCCCCGCCTCTGTCCTCTCTTCGCCTTTTCCCCTCTCCTCTGCTTCTTTCCCTATCTTGCTCTTTCTAGACATAATATCTTCCCGTTACTGCTTTCTCCTCCCTATCCTGCCCTCTCTCCTATCTCTTGCCACCTCTTTCCCTTTCCTCTCTCTCCCTTCCTTCCTCCTCTCTCCGTTCAGTTTCTCTCCTCTCCTCTCCTCTCCTTTCCTCTTCTCTCTTCTCCTCTGCACCTGCATTTTATCCAATGTCCTCTCACTGTTTCTCTTACCTCATTCATTTCCTTATTTCCTTTTCCCTAGACTCTCTCCTTCGTACCACTTTCCCTACCACACTAACTGACTTCTACCACACTAACATTCTCTACCACACTAACTAACCTTCTCTACCACACTACCCAGCCTTCTCTACTACACTAACCTTCTCTACCACACTAACTAACCTTCTCTACCACACTAACTAACCTTCTCTACCACACTACTGAGCTTTAGTTATTCCTCCCCAGTGCTTGTAAGAGAAGGAATGTAATTGACTCATTCACTTATCTCAACAACTAGACTCTCTGTTATATATTATTCACAGTTCAGGAGAAATAAATTGAATCTGGAAATCTTTAGTAATTCTTTTTCCAGACCAACAAGGAGAGAGAGAGAGAGAGAGAGAGAGAGAGAGAGAGAGAGAGAGAGAGAGAGAGACACACACACACAGAGAGAGAGAGAATAAATGTCTCCCTTTCATCTCACATTTCCGGCTTTCAGGATCTCCCCGACGCGCTACTCTCTTCCATCCCCTGCAATTTTAGTCAACCGAAAAAAGAAACTTTCGTCTAACTTCATCTGGTTCTTATATGTTGGTGTTTTTTAAGTCATCATATACTCAGAGGACGAAATCATGCCATGTGTTTTTATTTCTCCTCACTGGAACATAACTCTTAGTGGTTTAGTATCACTTGCAGTTTTCCCCGCCCACACACACTCGTTTAAAATATAGAGGAAGTCGTTCTCGGGGAGGAATTTGGCGAAATTCTTGAATTCTGTGGGACGTCTTGATTTCGTGGTGCCGCTGAAAGAGTAATTTTCATATTTCCTGTAGTCTTGTCTTCGACCATCTACAGGACTGAAAAATAAATATATATATATTACTTTTGTGATCTTAGATACTGTTAAAAAAATAAAGATTGGTGTAGGAAGGTGGATAGCGGGACGATACCAGACAAAAAACGGGTATAAAATAGGACTAACGAACAGCTTGGCCAAAGATTTTGTCTCACGGAAAAAAATAGGTGAGGTAACGCAGTATATCTCACACCTGCAGCCCAGGACAAACTGCCTCCCAGTGATAACTTACCTAGGAAAGTTTGCACATATTTACCTATGAACCTCAAACTACCAACCCAAAGAGTGAGAGACGATATTACCGCTGGCGATAATCGAATGTCTATCGCCTTTATCATGTTCACACTTCACACCCCACTCCTATGCACAATGTACAGTTCACATCACTTATAAGCCACAGAGACTGGCGGCCTCGGAATTCCTAACCGGCAACTTTACTGGATGCATCCCTCCCCCACCCCACCTCCAGAAACACACAAACCAGGCAATTAATTGGTGGTTAGCCAAGGTGAAAAGTTACCGCTTACTCCTGAACACGTTAACACATAAGTAAATTCAAAAAAGGATTATTTAGTTTGCTTCTAAAAACTTATCCATACAATTGTTATAGTTGCGCACAATATAGAATATATATATCACTGTGGCGAGGTTTGGTTGGTTCACTTAAGTCTTTAATCTGCCTCGTTTCACGGTTTGGGATTTATGGGAGTGTCAACAGAGGCCTCTAACAAGACTAGACAATACTCAGTGCTGCCTCTGCCTTAATGCCAGTAAGGATGTAGACGAAAGCTTACAGACAAACAAATACCCGGCGAAGAGGCTGAAATTGACGAGGTCTGCGAAGTATCGTAAAATATTCGTTAGTGTAGTAGAATGTTTGTGTCGCAGTGTTTATTAGTGTCGTCAAGTGTCTCAAAGTGGTTTTAAGTTTCATAAGTGCTTTTAAGTGCCGTAAAGTTTACATAAGTATTGTGAAGTGATTACATGTTACTATCATAATGTGTTTAAAAGTAACGTAGAGAGTTTGGTAAATTTTTACCAGTTGCCCATTAGGTTCCACAATAGTTTTGGGTCTAGTTCTAGATATATCTCATCATTCTGAGTACCTTTCATTCTATTCATTTCTGTCGCAAATGAATAATAGTGAACATAATAGAACCTGACCTAACCAACCAAAGAAACCTACCTAACCTTACCTAACTCCCTAGCCAACCCCTTCGGACCCCCTCCATATTAAACAGAAAGTACTTATTTCGTTATCTGGTAGCAATGAAAGCAACTTTATTGAAACGTCATGGTACACTTTTACATTTTTGTGTGGAAGTGACAGGATGCTGGAACCGACACGCTGTGACTTAGATTATGCGCGACTTGTAAAAAAAAATACCGGGTGTTTATAAGTGTTGTAAAGTGTTTGTTATGAAGTTTTATAAATGATGTGAAGTGTTTGTGTCATGAAGACTTACAAGTGTCACACAGTAATGGTGGGCGCCCGAAACACCCATACGTGTCATAGGAGTGGTGTAAGTGTCGTAAACTTATCTGGATTTTTTCTTTTATTTTTTCAGGTAACTGTGAGTTAAAACAGTTCTTCGAGGGATATCAACACACCATATCTCAGGTACGTCCAAGTTATCATGTTCATTGAGTATCGTTTTATTCATCAGCTAAGTTTGGAGTCCTTCGCATCACACAAGAATTTTAATGGAAAGTTACGCTTTTCCCCTCCACCTTTGAGGACGTCGATGTCCCTCCCTTATCAATGAGCCAACGTGATGCCCCCACTCGTCCACGAGGACGTCGTGCGCACTCCTTATCCTTACACCGTCTTTGTGGTCGCCTGTGGTCCTGTCACTGTATATATGAAAGTCTCCCCCTCGCCTTCCCTCACGTGGTCTATGAGAGCCTCACCTCTTCCATTCAAGTGGATACAGTGATCACACTCACCTGTTTTAGAGGCATCCGCATCTCTCCTGGAAAGCTCTGGCTACACCAAGATAAAATTACCCTCACCATGCTGTCATGGTTTCATGATCTTGCTTTATAGGCTATTAGTTAACCTGCTTCCTGTTTTGGAAGCGTC